CAAGGACGACATCCAGGACTCACCCATCCCTCCGGTCCATCATCCACTCTCCCCCATCGCACCTTCTGGGTCCCTTCTATCCATCCAGCACCCTCTCGCTAATGAGGAGATGGAGGCCATGTTGGCCCAGATTCACATCAATATGGAGGCACTCCGGACACGCGATAGGATGGAAGTTGACGTCCGGCAAGATGACCTGGAGCGTCACATTGAAGTCGCCGAAGGATCGGATGCTGCCATGACCGTGCAGATCGACCGGATACAGGGGGGATGTGGATGCACACCAGAGACTCATAACTGAGTTGTCCGTCCAACTTCAAGCAGTTGTGAGGTATATGAGGGGGGATAGGTCCGATGAAGGGATGGCAACAACCCCACCGGCATTCATCCACCCCCCATTGTCGCCGGCCCATCCATCAGTGCATTCGGTCGCACGTTGACCAACGATGTCTTCACTCCGGATGCATCTTGGATGAGCGCCCAGACCGGTGGTGATCTCATTGGCATTGAAGATGGCTCACCGGTCGCAAGACAAACATGGGTGCCATCCACTTCCACCATCAACCCGGCACTCACCACGACAGTATCCGGCCCATCTGTTCCTCCGGGTGATGCACCACCAGTACCACCTCTCATTCTCCCGGTGGGGTCCATGCCTTCACCTGGCACCCTTCACGCATTGATCACCGGAGGGCCATCAAATGTGCTGGACAATGGTCAGTCCACCTTGGCTCCTTTGCCACGCCAATGATATGGACCTCTATCCCTCCAACATGGTCGGTCGGCGAGCACTAGGCATGCTAAGAAGCCTTCCGGTGATACGGAGAAGTAATACTACTACATATTTTTCATGTTTTCATCTGTATTAGTAGTCTATTATGCTCTCAACATTGTGCGCTTTCAATGAGCAAGATCACTTATGAGATAATCGCACAGTTGACTTGCATAGCCTGCATTTCAGTCGCTAAGGAGTGTTTCTGTACCGGATGGGATATCATGCATCTACTGGTGATCATGCAGATCCGTCTCAAGTGCACATCCTTTACCGGCCCAACCGTCTGGATTGGACGTCCTGTACCGGCCCATCCGTCTCGACCGGATGTCCCCATACCGGCCCACCCATCTCAATTGCACGTCATTTACTGGCCCATCCGTCTCAATTGCACCTCCGGCCCACCCGTCTCAATCGCACATCCTATACCGGCCCATCCGTCTCAAATTGCACCTCCGGCCCACCCATCTCAATCGCACATCCTATACCGGCCCACCCGTCTCAATTGCACGTCCTATACCGACCCATCCGTCTCAACCGGATGTCCCTTTACCGGCCCACCCGTCTCAATTGCATGTCCTATACCGGCCCATCCGTCTCAATTGCACCTCTGGCCCACCCGTCTCAATTGCACGTCCTATACCGGCCCATCCGTCTCAATTGCACCCTCCGGCCCACCCCGTCTCAATTGCACGTCCTATACCGGCCCATCCGTCTCAATTGCACCTCCGGCCCACCCGTCTCAATTGCACGTCCTATACCGGCCATCCGTCTCAATTGCACCTCCGGCCCACCCGTCCTCAATTGCACGTCCTATACCGGCCCATCCATCTCAATTGCACCTCCGGCCCACCCGTCTCAATTGCACGTCCTATACCGGCCCATCCGTCTCAATTGCACCTCCGGCCCACCCGTCTCAATTGCACGTCCTATACCGGCCCCATCCGTCTCAATTGCACCTCCGGCCCACCCGTCTCAATTGCACGTCCTATACCGGCCCATCCGTCTCAATTGCACCTCCGGCCCACCCGTCTCAATTGCACGTCCTATACCGGCCCATCCGTCTGCAATTGCACCTCCGGCCCACCCGTCTCAATTGCACGTCCTATACCGGCCCATCCGTCTCAATTGCACCTCCGGCCCCACCCGTCTCAATTGCACGTCCTATACCGGCCCATCCGTCTCAATTGCACCTCCGGCCCACCCGTCTCAATTGCACTGTCCTATACCGGCCCATCCGTCTCAATTGCACCTCCGGCCCACCCGTCTCAATTGCACGTCCTATACCGGCCCATCCGTCTCAATTGCACCTCCGACCCACCTGTCTCAATCGCACATCCTATACCGGCCCATCCGTCTCAACCAGATGTCCTTTACCGGCCCACCCGTCTCAATTGCATGTCATTTACTGGCCCACCCGTCTCAATTGCACCTCCAGCCCACCCGTCTCAATCGCACGTCCTATACCGGCCCATCCATCTCAACCAGATGTCCTTTACCGGCCCACCCATCTCAATTGCACGTCCTATACTGGCCCACCCGTCTCGACCAGATGTCCTTTACCGGCCCACCCGTCTCGACTGGATGTCCTTTACCAGCCCACCCATCTCAATTGCACGTCCCATACCGGCCCATCCGTCTCGAGTGCACATCCTATACCGGCCCATCCATCTTGATTGCACGTCTGGCCCACCCATCTCGATTGGACATCATTTACCGGCCCATCCGTCTCGATTGCACCTCCGGCCCACCCGTCTCGATTTCACATCCTTTACCAGCCCATCCGTCTCAAGTGCACCTCCGGCCCATCCATCTCAATTGCACATCCTTTACTGGCCCACCCGTCTCAAACGCACCTCCTTTACCGGCCCTATCACGCGGCCCACCCGTCTCCATTTTACCTCCTTTACCGGCCCACTCGTTTACATTGCACTCCATTACTCCGGCCCACTCGTCTATCCCACTGGATTCACTACTATTGTTGATATCCTATATAGTACATTCCTGTATTACCATCCATACTATATACCCCCGGCCCATCCGTTTGCCTCGGATACACCACACCCTCGGCCCACTCGTCTATCACGGTACAATTATTGCCACCGGCCCACACCGGATGGCCCGTCTCTATCAGTACATTGTCACGCCCGGCTGCCCGTCTGAGACGGGTATATGTTACTGTATTATGTGCAGACAATCAATATAGGTTTGTTTCGTGCAGTTTTATAGAAATCTGACCACATCCATCAGCAGGATAACTAATGATAGTACGTGCTAGCGCAGAAATGGAAGACAACGTTTTCTTCCATCTGGTACCAGAGATGGAGAAGGAGCTAGACCCAATAGCTCGACCTTATAACTGTCGAAAAAGAGTGTCATTCTCGACGTCCCCGTACCCGGTAGGCACGACAAGCTCGTTCGTTTACTCAATCATTTCTCTAATGTATTCTTCCAGCCCTATCTACCGGAACAAATAAATGGGTAGACAGATCCTGAACACACATTCCATCCCGTCTTAAGGCAGCCCAAGAAATTGCAGGGGCCCAGGCTTCATACAGCGAGTAAGTTAAGGTGTCGCTTAGGACTGAACTACCTTCAATAACTCATGCCAGATTTATTTGAATATTACCTGCATTTATGCGCCGGTGGCGAGACGCTCTCTAATCAGGTTGTTGCCCTCAGAATGGCCTCGATATTATAAGAGTTATTAGCCGTGTTTGCATTATTTATCAGATGCTCTACTACAGCACTTTGATAGTGCAAAGCAATGCAATAAAGGGCGACAGAAATAGCCCGCTCTCAAGTTTAGCTGACAGTGCTCGTTCCTGCACTCGAAATTGTCCCTGTGGTCTCGCTTGTTCGTTGCCACTTTGCATGCGTTCTTCGCGTCTGTCTTTACTCGCTGTCGTATTAGCGCCTGGACACGAACGTGGTGAAGAATTGGTTGGGGAATTTTGTTGAACTGCCGTTAACGCAGCAAAACACGTTTGCAATACAAGTTGTACATATATCACAAAAAGCGACGACCAAAACCTACAGAGCGCTGAGGGAACGATGTTAAGATCAAGAGTGGCTCGAATCACTTTTATTCAGATGCAGCATCAAATACAAGTCATTTCGAGATCCCATGCCCGCACATCGCGCATGCATCCATGCAGTGACATTCCTCATTAGATTTGTCTCAGCTGTAAAGGACATCGAAGATGTGACGAAAGCGACTGCTACATCAATAAAGCCCGACGAACCTGAGAAGAACGCGCTGGCCTTCTACCCGCTATCGGGGACCAAGATGCCGTGCATTACAGTGCAGCGGCATTGGCTGCTAACCCATATATTCGTACTCACAAGCAAATGTCTTGTCGACAAATGCATGCAGGACATTATGTCAGTTCTGCCTTTGTTGAGTGCCACAAATCACAGTCGACAGTATACTACGCCAAGAAGTATGAAAGAGGTTCCACAGGTGCGTGGGCAGGACTTGAGGGACTCTGAAGCGTGAAAAGGAGTAGACGAACCATGCCGCAAGGTCGATGTTCAGGGTGTGTATAATTGGTACTTGAAAAGCAGAGGAAGTTGATCATAGGGGGTGAGATACTGGGTGCGGTGGTTGTGGAACGGGTCCAATTGTATCGCATGCTGGCAGACGATCGGTGGGTAGAGATTGAGCAGTTGGCACGGCGGGAGATAACTATGCATACTAAAGAACATGTATCTTCCAGCGCCTATTTGGGACCGGGAGATGGACCGAGGGAGTCAGTGCGTCATTTCAGGTGAAGCAGTGCCTTGGTACAATAGTTGTTGATCCTGGCGCCTAAGAGCAGACCACGAGGCCATGTTGATGTAATGAGCTGCATGCTATAGTCACGTTGCACAATCAACCCACCTTGACCATAAACCATCAACACGACGGCAACAGGTAGGCTACTCGCATGCTCCTCTTGGTTGTGTCGAACCTCCCACTAGGCATAATAGACGAGGAAGCATGAAAGACGACAAACTAGCTGGGTCACACCAAGAGCCTGTCAAGACGTTTGAAGGTCATGAGGAGTCAATTAGCTGCATTGCAACTTTTCCAGACGGCAAGAGAATAGCGACTGCGTCTTTCGATAAGACAATCCGCATCTGGAGGCTTGAGGACGGCACAGAAATGAAGAAGTGGGTCACGAAGAAGTTTGTCGGCGCACTTGTAATCTTGCGAGACGGGATACACGACGTGGTTAGCACTGAGGGAGCGGAGCTAATTGAGGATGAGGAGTGTCCTTGGGAGCTTTCAGTGCGTGATGCTGAGACTGGGAGGGTCGTTGCAGGTCCCTTGGATGGTCACAAACATGTTGCGTTTGCTTTGGACATTTCCCTCGACGGCAAAATCTTGGCCAGTGGGTCAATCGATCGCAGTGTCATTTTATGGGACACCAGCACCTGGCAGAAGAAAGGCGATCCCCTCTGGTGTGGGGCAAAAATCAGTTCTGTCCGATTTTCTCCGACCGGTCAACTCGGCGTTGCCACCAAGAAAGATATCCAAATATGGGACTTGGACCGAAGGGAGCGTCTTGCTCGATTCAAAGGTCATTCCGACTTCAACAATTCACGCGCCTTCTCACTCACCTGGACTCGTGACGGCGCCCATCTCCTCTCAGGAGGTAGTTTCGGTGATCCCGTTATCCGTTCTTGGGACACCTCTGCCTGGAAACAGGCTGGTGATCCTTGGAGTGGTCATGGCAACCAAGGCGTCAATAATATCACCTTGAACCTAGCTGGAACCCTTCTCGCATCATCATCTAACGATGGCACAGTTCGCTTGTGGCAGCTGCCCGCAGGCACTGAAGTTGCGAGGTTTCAACACACAGGTCGGGCGGCTTATGTTGCATTCTCGGTCGATGGATACTCTATGTTCAGCAGCAACTCGAACTACCAAATATTGCAATGGGAGATACCGGAAGCAGGTCCTCGCAGCGGCTGTGATAAGGTGACTCCTCCCAACTTCTATTTCACTCCGCCCACAAGCTCACGCACTCCCATGTCAGGCTGGTCCTTCATGGGGCAAACAACTGGCACGTGTTCTTTACTAGCACCCCATGTATATACTGACTTTCGACCAGAATCGACAAGGGCTTCTTCATGTACGTAGTCCCATGGTCACCAGTTCATTGTCGTCTTAGATACTCCTAGTCAGATATTCCTGGCCAGCGCCGCAGGGCACTGAACTATGAGTGCACCAACAGGCCTCGCGGACAGGCTGCTTACTTTGTACCGCCACGCACTCGTGCCGAGAGCTCTTTGTCTTCTCCGTTGCACAATTTCAGGACCTTTTTCACTGGCATCCGGCAGTCGTCAGACAACAAGCAGAAGGAGTGTCAACCGAAACAAAAGGCTCCAGAAGTCATTGATGTTCCTCTCGGGCAAGCCACATATGTTTGTTACCCCCAATTCTATCGAATTTGTGAGATCTGACCACATTCTTCACCAGGGTGATGTTGTTGGTGTGGATGACGGAACACGTCCATACTCGCTCCTCTGTTGCCTCAGCTGGTGCCAGAAAAAGAAGAAGCCGGATCTGCCACTGCCAGTCTACGATGTCGACCTCATGAATGAAGAACAAGAGGAAAACATTGCCAACACTCCCATACCCACTTCTATGCCGCACAATCATCTGAATAGTCCCACGCCTGCTTCTTCTACACTGTACGATCACCTCATCCATTTGGCAAACGCATCACCTGATTTAGTTTTATAGGCCTCAAATTTTCCAGCTCGACCAAATCGAATTGAAACCAATGACTAACCAGTCGCAGCCCGAGGCAGGACCATCTCGCCTTGCATTTTTTGACGATCCCCGTCTGCATAGTTACTAAGTAGTTGTATTTCTTGGATCATACCTCTTTCTTATCGTGTATTTGTAATATGGGTTCATTTGAATGACCTTTGCTTTCAGCGCATGGTCCACTTCAGAGGTTCTGTCGGCCCTGCAAGCTTTGTAGTTACGGCTTAGACGATCACGACTAGTTCCCGATAGGCTATCGAGTTCACTTATGACTTCTATTTTAGACCCTCCGCATGTATGCAGAGGCGCTGTTGGTATGCATGGATTTGTTACCTTTCCCAACCTCTCCCGTCTGTATCCCGATGACATGTAGCATCAAGAATACGACTGTGTCAGAAGGTCGAGTCAGGTATGTGTTGCACTGGGGGTATTCATCGTACCCAACTGCACGCTTACGTTCTGAACTACTAGGCATGTAGCATTTTCCTCAAGAACCGCACGTATATACATCATACGCCACCAACCCCCCGCACAGAATAGGCTCGAGACCAGCCTAGCTCAAGTATACAACCACAGACGAGTGTTGTATCAACATCTCAATCAGTGCGCGCAAGCAGAATGATTACGAGTCTACGCCCAGACCCATGTTCTTCCGCCCAATCTGACAGCACCGTTCCCAACACCCACACCATTTCCCCTTCCCCTTGCTACCAGACCCAGCTGCTCCATCATCGTCCAGCTCGCAGCGACTCTTATGGATCTTGTGATGCATAACTTTCCCAAATGCTGATCCATTCCCTTGGATGACGCAAAGAGGCTCTCTGGAAGTGGAGATGATTGAAGTTGGTGTTGTTGCCGCACTTGCTAGAGCGTTCGGGTATGTATTACATAGGCCCATCTTCATTTTGCTCTAATGACCGCGTGGATTCCGTCAACAAGTGGACATCTTGTCCCTTTGTGTCGCGCCGCTCATGGCATGCTCGATTTCTCCCTTGTGTATAGAACCGCCCATTTCTCTCTTGCATGCAGAGCTACTCGTGAGGCATTACGTTAGCGTTTACCTCAAGAACTGCACACTCATACCTCATATACCGCCTTCCCTGACGTAGCGTTCTGGTTTTATTGACCTGGCAAGAGGAACAACAGGTAGATAGGTCCTGGTCCCACACGCCCTTGCGACAGCACCAAGCGCAGTTTCTCCGCACGTGCCCACTCAAACTCGCCTGTACAGCCTACAACCAACCAACCACCACAAGAATGGAAAGTCCGAGCAGGTGAAGATGACGAGGAAATCAACCATGATGTCGTTGCAAGTCTTTCTCAAATTTCTCGCACTACCTCATCTTGATGGGCCGTCAGTATTCCGCGAAAGCTCCGCTCGATTCCAGCAAAGATGAAGACGACAACGCGCTCGAGGGAGGGACCCAACTGCAGCCAGGATGGCTCCAGCAACGAAACGGCCCAAGGTCGTCGAGGTATATGCCTCGCGCGGATTCCAGGTAAGGTTCATTCTTTACACAATTTTAGGCTTACTAAACACGAGAGTAACAGAGATACATTGTAATGAAGCGGGTACGCAAGACAAAGGCATCGGCAGTGACGAGCAGCGCTCTTCCCTCTGCAGCACACGCGAGTAACTCGTCACAGGCAGGTCTATTATCGCAAGTCGTCTCTGTGCAGGCCGGTACATCATCGTATGTGGTGTCTGGATAGGCAGGATTGTCATCGCATGTTGTAGCTGGACACGGAACACCACACTTACAAGCGGCTACAGGTCCACACGCTTCCCCGTCGCACTCCGCTACTTACACCCATCATGACTCAGATTCGGACTCGAGTATACAAGGCACCTGTAACAAGTTCCTCGACAAGATATGTTTCCTTCGTGGACACTAACACGATGATTCTTAGTGCGTCTCGAGTGTTATGTAGTCTTCACTTCCATATTGACTTGTTTGTTTCTTCGTGTCCTCCCCTTTTCTTCCACTCGCAATCAAACCTGTACTGTTTACATCCTACGTATGTCTATTTTGAGTATCACATGCCTTCTTGCGAGGCAACTTAACCGTTATCGGCTGCGATGCAAGTAACACCTAACTCCGAGTCCAGAAGCAGAAAGCAGTTGTTTGGATCTAAGGACTTTGCCAAACAAAGCTGCACAGCCCCTGTATGATACTCGACTTGTGTAATCTCCCCAACAGATTCTATATACGTCAGTCTAATTGGTCTCACTCGTCCACCCGAATTGAACCGAATTGAAGCAAACCCAAAGACAATACGTGCGTGCAGAATGCTATGTAGTAAAAGTTAAGGGAGGGATCATAGTAGGGTGGGTGCTCGAAAATACACGATACGACTAATGAAACAACGAGGGGAAGTGAGAAGAGGCCCCCATAAGAAATTTTGACTCGACGTACCTAACGAAACAACGAGGGGAGGAAAGAAGAGAAAAAGAGCCCCTTTCCCCCGGTCTCGCTAGGTAGAGGTCGATAACCCTGTGACGATGACGACAAAGTAGCGCCATGCCGGGATGCGCACAGAGCGCGTGCCGCTGAGGCAAAAGGGATTGGCCCTGAAGTAAACGCCACCGAGGCGGTCCGCGATTGAAGGTCGACCGCTCGCCCAATTAGACTTGTGTAGAAAATATTAAACTCGATTGAGAGGTAATATCTTCAGTCGTCAACACTCGAGAGTTGTTTTTCCACCAATCATCCAGACAGGGTACACGCAGAGCGCTTGGGAATTCAACCTGGCCTCGTGATATTGACACACTGGACGAAATACACGGAACGTTACGATGAACAAAGCTGCAGAGACGAGAATCCCAAGCTGACTCCAGGCCCTAACATCTTGTAGCTATTCCGACTGTATGATGGTTGTAAAGGTATGGCTATTGAACTATGTAGACCTTCATGATAAAAATGGAGGCCTGTCATATATACTATCAGTGTAGAGGGCCAAGGCGTCGTGACTCATTGACTCCTTTCACGTTTCAAGTGATTACAAGCCTGACGCGCAGCCGAGTCCTTAGCTGCATCTATGGTGCCCGCTTGTGCGTGGCCGTGTTCCATATCGTCGACTGTCGTATTAGTTAGTGCGCATACTCGACTTTTCTAGCAGTAAACGTACTATAGACGGTTGCAGACCATGTTGGACTGTTGTGAGGGCCTTTCGAAGAGACCTCCCATCGGACATGGTCAGAGGCCGCAGGACCGTAAATGGCCTGCAAGATATTGTTCAAGTCGGTGCGAGGTTCTGGAGGGCAATGAGCGAACACATCACATATGTTCAATGGATGACATACGGTCAAGAACAGGCATTGAGGATTAGGGTACGAGTGTTTATATGAGAGAATATCAGTAGGAATTGTGAGGAGTATGATACATGCTGTCTTCCTTTATATCTGCGCAACACGCATAACTCACCAAGTTGACGCTGTAAACGCAAGTAGGGCTAACTGATAGCCAGACGTATTTGATTATTGGCATGTGCATTGCGCCCATGTACATGCCAGTTTCCCGGAGCCGGCGACGACGGGAGGTGGAGGTGGAGGTGGATAAATGAAATATCACTAAGACGTGTGCCGGCACGGTGTGCTTGATACACCGTTTATCTTGAGGTGACAAAGCAACGAATTTGGAATACTGCTTGTCATGATAGGCTCATACTGGCCAATGCTGACTTTTGCGCCTACGGGATTTCGTACATAGGCGCTAGAATACAGGCCAACCTGCCAAGCTGTATAGATTAAAAAAATAGACGCACTGGCTGTGCTATGCCTATTCAGGGGTTGTGGAAGGTCTCGTGGTGGAAAATTGCAACGGTTCCTCGCAAACCATCAAATACCGATTGCCAACCCGCAGGTGGATTTGCCTGATAGCAGGTATATGAACGCGAATAGGGCATAAAGCGCTTTAATATCCTGATGTTCAGCGAGGCAACGTGAGTCGCGACATCGGATTTCTTCATGGAACTAGAAAACTAAGGGATGGCAATGTTAAATCTGGAGACTCTAGAGGGACGAAATTTGAAAGAAGACAGAGGGCCCGAGAGGGGTGATACTTAGTCTAATCGTAGCTGGTAGGTAGTTCCCTGCAGCCTTATTGCCACGCTAAAAAAAGCTCGGTTATAGCACAAAATGCGGCAGTTCATTAAAATCCAACAAGTTCGTGCGTATGGTGTATGTGGCTGGTGCCAGGCGTGCCCTAGTGCACGTGGTGGATGGAAAGTTGTAGTTGTTTGGATCTAAGGGCAAAACATGTACAGTTGCACCGTAACAGTCCCTAGCAGTCTAATTTGTTAGACGTAACAATTGCAATTGGCACGTAACTGCAGACTCAAATTCCCCTTGCGCATGCTATCTCTCTCGTTCTCGCACCTGCAATTCTTTTGTGAGTATCACGTTGGCTCACCCAGACCCCAGCGAGTACTGCGAGGTAGATTAAAATTTCCTTCTTGTGACCTTTTAACGCATGCAGCATGGCGAGAACCCGAATCACAGATGATCGGAAGTGAACAGCAATGTGGGCTCTGAAGCAGAGTAAAATGGATGCCAGAAGCTATGTGGTGGTTGAAGGTCGCGGTCTCTATCTTGAATATATGCGCTGAAACATGGTTTGAGATACTATTATGATTGGAATCGGTGAATGATGATGTGGACAGAGTATTGGGCATCACAATCTACGAGCACTCAACAAGCCGAAATGGGAGGAATAGCTGCATGGCCGCATAGGCTGCCAATGGACAATCAGCGCCGCCTCATGGAATCCATGCCTGCGGAAGTTATTGCCTATCTTTCCAGCTTACCCACAAGTGAGAGTCTGAGCAGACAACCTGGTGAGCACTGGTCAAGTTTTTGCCCCCATAACAGTGACTTACGCACTGTGCCAGCCAGCGCTTCGCGATTCCAACATATACAACGAGGATTGTCATGGGACAAAATGTGCGATGACGTTCCTGCAGGCATACTCCGAACGGCATCACTTCCCTGGAGCATACCCGGACAGTACAGCGTACATGGGCTATATCGCCTCTTCAAAAAGAGACGACCTTCGAGAGATGCACCGTCGCACTAAGTTGGATCCCCACCAAACTTGTGCACACGACTTCACAAGCCAAGTCATAATATTAATATCACTCTAACGTAAGCAGTGACGCTTGTCTGGTGAGGACTTGATGAAACCAGGCTGTCACCCAAAACGTCTGATAACTCGTCCGACAATAACCCATAGATTTATGACATTGATACGAATGCTGCCAAATGTTTGTTCTGTATGAATGCAGTCACTCTGGGGATAAGCACTATATTAGCAAACTGCGATGAACCGATAGGTGTTGTTATCTTGGGCCGTATGCAATAATTTCAGTGATAAGAGTTACCATGTGCACCTACGACGTGTCCAGCAAATATCTCCACATCCCAAAGAGCAAATTCACCAAGAATCCAAAAACGATTCCCACTTGTGTGCGCCGTCTAAGTCACGGTCAGCATGTGGTTGGGGGATTCATAAGCAGAAAGGGGACTGACGAAAATATGACGCTCTCCCCACTCTCGTGCTCGCCCTCATCCCAGAAAACTGCGGCCTTTGTTTCACGTAGGAAGAAAAATGGAATGATGGGGAAGAAAAACCCAATAACAATCCCGCGGAGAATGAGACTCTGTGAAGATGCAGAAGAAAGCGCCGCTGTGTTGACACTATCCATTGAATCTATCCATTGTTCTTCGAGAGCTCGGGCGTGTTCATCATCTGGGGTAAAGTAAGCATAATTTCCGATGAATTTATTAGGACATACAATCTTCTTCGTTCTCAAACTCGATGTCAAGATAATTTAACGATGATTGGCTATGAAACTGTCGTCTGAAATTCGCAATGTCCTCTTCAGAGAATCCTGCGGCAGTAAGCCTGTCGAATCCCCTCAGTGGCTGAAGTTGAGCAACCTGTATCCAAAAGCACTAAGCAACGAAATCAATATATCCGTGAGTTACGCACCTGTGGTTTCTCCTCCTCACTCTCTCCAGGCTCGATCTGGGGGCCAACAGAACAATGCAGCCACGTCACGAGGTGGTCCTCCTTTGAGCTCTCTTGTGAACGAGCGGAGGCTCGCTCCTGTCGTTCCTCGAGGGTTGTCAGCCATTCGTGAAGGAGCGTTCCATCCGTTAATAGACGTCCTGCGTGTATAAGACGAAGCCGACGGTCTTTCAATTGAGGGAGACCTATAACTATCTGTATGTATCTTTTCGTGAGACAGCACCAAAACAATGCTTTCAACAACGCACATTAGCTTTAACATCCCTTACTGTGTGCTTCGGACGGACTGTGAGGCTAAAGTCGGGAATACCCTCAGTAAATCGGATCGTCAGGTCTCTTGAATCGTTCGGCGGTGTCGAGGACGAGGGCTGGTCAAGGGGCAGGTCTATTTCACGCTGCTTCCCTTTTGCTTTCTCGCTGAGCATAGTAGTCTCGCGCTTGTTGTGAGTCTGTGACAGCAGTATCTGAAGTCATTACTACTTACACTGCTGCTGGTCACGTGAGTGGGGATTACTCATAAGATGACTAAGCTCGCCTTGTATGACTTCTCTCCCGACGTCCCCAGTGACTGCTATAACTCTTACCCCAATATTACCCGGACCTGATTGCCCATCATGCCGCGCGCAGAAGGTCAGTCATATTCTTATCTTACGAGAATGAATTCAACTAACGTTCAATGTCCAGTCGGAACTCCAAAATATCTCGCCAATAAGATGAAATCCAAGGGCCTACAGCGCCTGCGGTGGTACTGCCAAGTCTGTGAGAAGCAGTGTCGAGATGAGAATGGCTTCAAGTGCCATGCTCAGTCTGAGGCCCATCTTCGCCAGATGCTCGTCGTCGGCGAGAATGCTGGGCGGCATATCGCTGATTTCTCGAGCCAGTTCCAGCATGATTTCGTCCAGCTTCTGAGTAGACGGTGCGTGACTCTTTTTCACTCTGATATCAATCCCTAGATTATTTATGATTCATTAGATATAATACGAAACGTGTGCGCGCAAATCAAGTCTACCAAGAATTCATTCAAGACAAGAACCACCTCCACATGAACGCCACACGCTGGGTAACTCTCACCGAATTCGCCAAACACCTGGGGCGTTCAGGAATCGCACGCGTGGACGAGACTGAGAAAGGGTGGTTTATTGCGTGGATCGACAGCAGCCCGAAAGCACTCGCAAAGCAAGAGGCCTCGCTCAAGAAGGATCGAGCCACACGTGATGATGAACAGCGCGAGCGCACTCTGATTTCAGAGCAGATTGAGAGGGCGAAGTTGGAGAAAGAGGGGAGTGGCGAGGGAAGCGCCAGTCCTCCTGCCGAGGAGGGCCTCAAGAGAGAAGAGGGTGCAGAAAAGGTTGTTCTGTCATTTTCTGCTAAGCCAGCGGCTACATTGGACACAACGACAACAGCTCCGATAGGACTGAAGCTGACTGCTGTGAAGCCCGGCGTCAATCTTCTCAAAGCCAATCCATTGAAACGGCCCAACGTCTTCAAGTCTGCCGCTCCTATCAAGTCCGAGAGTGTAGAGGGTGGCAATGGAAATGATAGGAAACGGTCCGCGCCGATGTCAGCTGCAGAACGGCTTATCATAGAGGAACAGGAACGCAAACGCCGGCGAATGGATAGAGAAAGTGTAGTCTAAGTATCAGCCAAGTAGTATTTTTACCGTTGTATTCTTATTGGATTTTCCCTGCCTTCTGTTCAGCCATGTTTTGGCTGATTGCTATATGACTGACAGTGAGCATCATGCAGCTATAGCCTAGACGACGACTACAACAACTGTATGTATGTGCGCGTGACTTGTTGTCACTAGATGCATCACGTAGACCGTGGACGCTCATTTGACGCCAGCATGGGCCAATATGTCTTTTGGAAGTCCGTCAACTCGTGGGCTAAGCTTGAAGCTTGACTCAAGCCTGAGGATTCATTTTCATGGTTCAGCATCTACGGCCGATCCTGGCCTGGTTAGGCTTCTTGTTCAACACAACTGCTTTACACGTCCTGCCCATCTTACGCCAAGGTATCTTCCTCATCCGCAAGCTAGGTCTCCGAGCTGCTCAGCTTCGCTTGCAAACGCTTCTCAGCCGTCTCCTTGCATACTATCACAGGATTTCACCAAAGAAGAGCAATGCAGAACCAGAGATAGCATATTTTACTGCTGCAAGCACCGTCCATTCAGTCCTTGCGCCAGAGAACGCTCTCCAGAGCTTTCCTGTCCCGGCAATCCAGCTTCAAGTTCAGGTCAATCAACATCCTGCTGGAGGTTCCTGCACTTCCGTTGATTCCCGGCCTCTGTCTACGTTACCGACGGAATGGGATCCCAACAAGTTCAAACCGTTAGCTCCCCAGCTTTGCCAGCGATACAAAGGAAGGGTGCTTGTGTATGCTTTTTGTTCTGTCAGGTCTCTTTTGATCTCAAATATTCTATCGGGTATGCTACAGAAGGAGTGACGAGACCAAGCCTATCCCAGCCAAAAAGAAGGACTTTACAGGACATACCGGTCGACGGTTGGCAAAGTGTCATACATCCAGAGGGAGCGTTGTACTTCTACGACGCCACTCGGGTATGTTGTAGTGTCTCATTTCAATTCTTTGCCTGCGTTCATAAAATTCCAAAGCACGTTTTCACGGACGCAAATATGAAAAGCAAAAGGATTCTCAAGGCCGTCAACCATTTTACTGACCAGTTACTCTTGAAAGCTGGCGATATGATCGATGACTCGACGCATCTTGTTCTGGAGCTGCAAGACATGAAAGGAGACGCATGTAATTATTACTTCGTGCAACACGATAAACGGCTCTTGTTCTGGCTGCAGGATTTCAATGAGCCTATGCGTACTATCTACGAACATGTCAAGGGTGTCAAATCGGATACTCACATCAGTTGGTGTCTCTTGGCGCTCTCCCGAATCAGGCTTATTTATACACAAATAATAGAAATGGCTCTTGAGGCACAATATTGGTTCGTTGATTGTATTGTGTACGTAGCTTGTCGACCATATAGCCGTGCATCTCTAAATGACGCATTTAGTTCAACGTTGTCGTTAGCTGACATCATGAACGAAGGATGCACTGTGAACTATACCCGAGCAATGCTCCCATCCAACCTCAGATTGCCACAGAATTGAAGCATGTTCTTCTTCATGCACACGCAGGTCGGTACCTGCTAGTTTCCCATAATTATACCTGTTTAAAATTATGACCTCTCTGTAGACTTCCTAACATCCGATACCTCTGTGGTTCCCTATGACCTCTCCACGCTACAGAGCATGTTGGATCTTTCAAACCATCTAGTGGATTATGTAGGGTCCCAAATGCCGTCTAGTAAGGGGGTTGTGGAGTTGCCTGCTCATCTCATGTGCGTGCTAGGTGGGGGTCTATACTATTTCCGTGGCACTCTTCCACTTACACACCAGAAGCTCGCCTCATGCGGTTGTTCGGTGAGTATAGAAATTGTGCTGGAGACAACGGGCATAGTCACTGAATCGACGTCTCAGCTCGTTCAAAATTCCTGAACTTCTATGGTCAAGTCAGCGCGCGTCTCAACGCCAACCAGTCAGTCTATGAACTTGAACAAAACAGGCAAAAAGGGACATTTCGACTGAGGCTTGCGAATGCCTTCCTCTGGGGCGTACCGGATGCACAATACAAATTCCTTCAAGACACGTGGATAGATAATATTTTGAACTATCCCAAGTGGTACAAACATATTAGCAGACTCAATGGCGACTGGAGCAACGTTACCATCTTCGTAAGTCGTTTCCTTAAGCTGTAGCTTGCAGTGATCAAGCTTTTTGGCCAGTCCACCGTGATGTTGGCAGTTGACATTAGTTTTCTGGCCGTTCCTGGGGTCATCAGCCCAGCGACCGTGTTCATTTATCTGTCGGCGATGTGCTCCGTCAGTTCTTTGGTGGTATCCATGATTCTTGCTGGCGAGAGTCGTGGATGGGGCACGGACTCGGCTGAAGGCGCCGTACGTTGCCTACTGCATACTGAAGGGTGTAATACTCATTCGTCCTCCAGGCATCCTTCATGGCTCGAATGATTCATACACAATCAGACGTTGAAGCGCTGGCGATCATGTACAGCCTTCCGTACGCATACCTGATCTGGGGGTAAGCCGATACTTCTGTATAGCATGGAGATTTTTTCACGTCCAATTAGAATGTTCTGCTTCGTTACCGCTCTGGGCATTTCTGTTTTCAAATCGACAAGCTCGGCAACGCTGGTTGTTGTGGGTCTTTGCTGGGTTGCCGTTACTACTTTGACGCTATGGCCTGCATGGTGGGGTAAATTCAGTATCACGCCGTGGTCCAAGAAGGGAGGGCAAGCGAGGAGGGAGAATGTTTGAGCTTTTAATAAAACCTTTATCAGATATCTAGACTCGATCACCCCCCGTGAACCGGTGAAACGTAATGTTACCGTCGGCCCTGAAGGGCCGAAAGCACTGGTCGCTTTGCCGGGTTGTTTCAAGAATATCAGAAGTTATATGCAAGCCTATCTCTACATTGACCGGTTCATAGTCCGACTCAGTACAATATTTAAATGGAAAAGGCGTATATCACACAAGTCCTCAAGAATCATGGCAGCGAAAGGAAGGATACGGATTGTTACACATGATGAAACAAGTGCCAAAGGCAGTAGGGCATTTAGCAGCACATCTCGCAAGGGCAGCCTACATGTCACAAGTCAGTACCATTCCACATATAACAGAAATAGGACGTACAAATAATGTCTGCACAGCATTCGCAGCAGTCCTAAAATTGAGGTAACAATCAGATTAGCTCCGAAGGGGTCACTATCTCCACCAATCACCTTGCAGCATTCTACACGAGGAGTTTCAGCCTACAGCCAGAAGGTTTCATTGAAATCTAGACTCACCGAAGCAGAGGAAACACTCGAGGGCACCGATGAAACAGTCCTAGACAAAGCGAACAAAAAATCAACAATCAATCCCAAGTTCAACTTTCGAGAAACGTACTTTGGCAGCTCCTCCTCCACGGAGACGCTTGGCGTGGTGCTCCTGGTGGTTCTGAGTGTTGTTGGCAGGAGCAGGGTTTACGACACCTATCCAAACCGATACGGAGCCGCCATGAATATTTTGTCTTGATTGATCACAACAATACGTACTCATTTGGATGGCAGCATGGGGCTGGTTGGTGGTGGCCTTAGTGGTGGGCTCCATGTCGATACTAAGCGTGAATTTGAGGGTAATGGGCGAAGATTTGAAGTTCAGGGAGAAATGGACAAACTACTCCTTGCTATTTGTGAGGCCTTATATAGTGCCCCTGGCCCCACTACGCGGCAGAACCGGCAACACGGGCCAAATGATGTCAACTAAAGGCTGCGCGATCACATTGTGATCTATTAACAGTTTTCTATCTCCGCTTCTAAAACTGCGCTCCTCGCTGTCATCCATGATGTCAACTACTCTGAAGGACGCAGCAGGCGTATCGAGAGCAATACATCCCCCTGGCGAACGATCCTCCAGAAACGTTGGCGGTTGGCATGGTGGAAACGTGTAGAGGTCGGCGATCAAATCTTGTGGGTATTCCCTTACTGCTTGCAGGGTACTGACAGCAGCCGAACACCCTAGAACCCGTCTGGTTTTCATGAAGCCGGAAATCAGAGTTCTCAGTGGAGGATCAGCGGCTGAAGTGCGAGAGTGCGTAGGAACACGTCTGTTGGTCAATCCGACACAAGGAGCAACATGATTATCTATGACTCTCGAATTATGGCAAGACATACGAGTCCACTTATAGGTGCAGGTTACATTCAAGTTGTAAATTTGAGTTTCCTTCGGTGAGCCGAGTATCTTCTGTGCTTCTTTCACCTTACAAGCATCGAACATTCTTGCATCAAACGTGGTCTAGGCGAGGCTGACACTTTCTTCTAATTCGGGATCGGCGGCCGATGGGATGCAGGTCTTAGACTCGTGACCAGTCTGTCTAATGAGGCGAGTCGTTGAGCTCGCCTCATTAGACAGATTGGTCACCAGTCTATGCAGGTCTTGCGAGCAGTACTTGGCAAAAAGGGTCGTCATCATAAATGAAGGTATGTATGTAGAGGGATATGTAGCCGCTTGGATATATTTTGAATAGATTCCATTAACGTTGCCCTATATTCGTCGAATGCGCGCTCACATTACCGTTGGTCCGCTCGATCTTGGAGCACTAGGCATCAATGTCAAGGTGGGTTTCTCGCTCACAATTACGTCAGGTCACCATCATCGTTGGCCTACTGAATCTTGCTGTAAGAACCTCTTGTTATTGGTATGAAGCTCCTTTCGAGTTCGCATAAGATTTTAGCGCTGGCAGAGTTTAAAAATATCTTTCGCCCACAGCCTCAGGCCCTCTCACGAACGCGATGGTAGTGCCTGCACCACTGCACCACTTGATAAAAACCTGTTTAACATCCTCGACCTCTGCAGACGCCGGAGATGAAGCTCATCTTCAAACCTCCCCATGTGCGCAATACTGTGATCACAAATGAGCAGGGACATGTACTGTACTCGACCTCAACCTCCTTCTCGTTCGACACTCGCGTGACGGTCGTCAAGAAGCACGTACCAAACGAATTCAGTATTGGCAGAGTGGAGTCGTCGGAAATCCTTGCAAACATTGAATGGCACACATTTTCTTCGTCTGTCATCAAATATGACGGGATGACTTTGCTGGCATCTCAGTTCATCCCGACTAAGGGGTTTCTTGGACGGTGAGTGCACTATACATCACCTGTTCAGTTGCTCCAATACTTTGTCTTTCAGGCGACGTGTCTTCAAAGGTCCTGACGGACTATTATACAAATGGAAGATTGGCCCGCGCGAATGTACCGTAAGTCTGCTGCACATCACTTCAATTACTCTCATTCAACCAAAGCATCCATTTAAATAACGCGGCGCGTAACTGTCAGCTCATGCTCGACGGTACAGAAGTCGCTCGGCATCACCCGCTGAACCTTGGTTTCAAGAAGGCAGGGCATGAGGCATACCTAGAGATATTTTCGCCAGTCGAACATATGGTGGACCTGGTGGTGCTGACATTCATATACGTGGAAAAGCTGCGGAGGGGAAGTCAGGAGAGCCCGGGGACGGATCGTATACATGCACCGATCGAGCCAGCTAATTAGCTTCGGTATGAAAGGTACATGTGGTGAAGATAGTGAGATGAACTATCCCTGTATTGTATTACCGTTGCGAAGACTAAACAGTTTGCAGGTTGTATGTACCTCTTGACGGTTATGTTTTAGACGAATCTACATACCATGCCTTCCTTTCGGTCGTTATCGGCGGGTGGTGAGTAACATTAGAGGCAACAGCGGCACCTGAGCTGTTTTCGGGAGTAGTTTACTTACAAGTTGACCCAGCACATTGGCATCAGCTCGTATCATGGTCTTTGAGATGTTGCAATTTCGATGCTTCTGGGAACGAGCATGCCGCACGCAACGCAGCGGTGCGTGTGGGGGTTCGTCCCGACTCCACATGATACGATTATGCCGACCAGCTCGGAAAAAAATCTGACTGACGTGCGAATGAACTTGCTTCTAACCGACAAATGTGATGATGATACGGATCTTGTCACAAGACACCCTACGATATGTCATGCATCTCTTTCCATTATCGTTATCAGATATCGTGTGGGAGCAGAGGTCGGGTACGTAGATGGGAAGAAGGTTGCAAGAGTTCAGTGTGAAAAAATGGTAACAGTGAGCTCGAGAGTGAAGGTACCCTATATGAATTAGTGAGTCCCAACATCCGTTTCCATTACAGCGCCCCTTCCTTGCACAGAAAGTCCGTGACCGCAGGGTATCTTCGATCGACTTCAAGCTTACACATATACTGAAGAGGAGTGATCCCGTTGCTGTCCCGCGCATTGACATCACAGCCAGCTTGTACGAGGCTCTTCATAATTGCTAGGTTAGCGTCTCCATCCACCACATGATCCCACTGCATCTGTGAGATCAGGGTATGCAAAGGGTCCACATTCAACACGTATTTCTGGAGAAGGCGTTTCCACACGTGCGACTGGGTGCCGAATGCGGCGAGCACATCGCCGACGTCACATATTGGATCCCGTCGAAGAAGATAATCGATAACGAGGAAGAGCCGGCGTTGAATGGCGATACGGAGGGGTGTGTTTCCTGAAGAATCTTCGGTATTGACTAAAAAACCCTCGTCGATGAGAATGAGCAGTATCTCCCCGCAGTCGCGCTCGCAGAATGGACCGCGGATCCCCCTGCTTGAAAAGCAGAAGTCGTGAATGCCAACAGGACCCGTAACTACGTTGCGCATCAAAGCGTGGAGTGGGGTGCTGTTCTGAAGCAATGCCATGATGACCTCCGCATTATGCTCTTCTAGTCCACTTCCACAGAAGGAATCGAGTTGTCCGCATGCAAGTTTCCCGAGGAGATAGTTGACTGCAGATGGGATCCGCCTTTGGATAGCAATGCCGAGTAGTGTTTGTCCCGCTGAATATCGACTGGTGGCATCATGTCCGGCTTCGATGAGGGCCCTCATGGTCTGGAATCGGCAGTCTGTCTGCCATGCGTACAGCTGCTCGACCCACTGCTCCTGTCCAGGACGAATATCCGGGTTGATGCATGGAGTAGGTACATCGCTATTGAGCGCAACGTGTACCGGATGATTTACATGGACAGGCTTGCCCATTTGAAGGAAGTACTGCGTGACACATGGGAGCGACTGGGTGATAGCCAGGTCCAGGGGCGAGTATCCAGCTGAGTCAACAGCATCTTGTTCGCATCCCGCATCAATGAGGACTCTGACAATTTCTAGGCAGTTGCTATCATGCGACCAGTATCGGAACGGGAATGAAGAACGATTACCCAATGTCGTGAGCGGCGGACTGGACACATCCGCATCTGCAACGTGCTCTAGTAAGTGTAATGCATTGTCATCTGCGTCATCATAGATGACTGTAGAAATGTCGTTGGGGTTTAAGTTGACCTCAGCAGGATGAATCGCAACATGAATCGCATCCCCCGGGATGCGAGCACCTTTTTTGATAAGATACTCGACAAAAGGGAGCGACTGGCGGCGGATGGCAAGATGGAGGGGCGTATTCCCTGCCTCATCAGTTTCGTCTAAGCTGCACCCCGCTTCGACGAGGATGTACGCTGTCTCAAGACAGTCATTTCCCGAAGTCCAGTGATCGAGGAGAATGTGGAGAGGGCTAGCACCCAAATGTATTGCATTAATGTCTGCACCGTGCTGGACGAGTGAGGCAACGACTCTACTCATATAGATTTGAGTAGATTGAAGTGCAACATGGATAGCATCCGCAGGAATGTAGGCACCTCTTCCTATAAGATACTCCACGTAAGAGAATGACTGCCGCTTGATGGCGAGATAGAGGGGCTCGTTTTCCGCCCCATCGGCAGCATACAGTTGGAGGAGGTAATCCGTGACCGTGTGTAATGAGTTCACGGCGACAATATCGAGGGGCATCAATCCCGCCAAATCCCGGGTGCGATATTCGCACCCGGCAACAACTAGTGCACGTGTAACATCGAGGTACACTTCCTGACTCTGAGCACTCTTGCGAAAGAGAGTGTGGAGAGGACTGTCTTGGAAAGATGGGTGTGTAGCACGAACATCCGCCCCATTCTGAATGAGCGATGAAATGAGGTTAGAATCAACATCCTGCCTGTCCTCGAGCGCATTATGAATTGCATCGACTGAGAGACGAGCACCTCTACTAAGGAAGCATTCGAGGAGTTCCCGTGGACTGTGCCGCAGGGCAAACATCACAGGAGTGGTAGTCTCTAGGTCAATTGTGATGGATAGATTGACATCTCTTCCAAGGCCCAAAACGACATTGGCGAGCTGCGTCCACCCCCCCATAATTGCAAATTGAAGCACATGATTCCAATACTCTCGATGCTCTCGCAGGTACCGCTGGATCATCCACTCGGGGCCAAAATGAATGACAATGTCACAGATGCTTTGGGGATCAGCAAGCCAAATCTGCCAGGGATTGGAATAAGCCACTCGGGAATTCCAAGGATATCGAATGCACATGTGCCTCGGGAGGTTCTCTAGACAAGAAAGCACCGAGTCTTCCTCGATTATGATAGAGGATATATGTGCCCCAAGCCCGTGATCGAGTGCATAGCGCAGCAAAGGGCGCGTTTGGGTGGAGTCAAGAACATCATCGGTGATCAGATATTGAGTGCAATGCTGGGCAATATATCGGTGGGCATCTTCAAGTAGATGGCGGTACTTCTGTGCCTTTTCGCCTGCCATTAAGTATTCCTTGAATGAGTACATGAGCAACTTGAACGATCTTATCAAAGGAAAAATGGACCTTACCCGCACACTGTAATGTGACAAAGTGACAACACCAGTTCTCTTGTCGAAGCTCACAAGACTACTACATATCTCCAGGAGATCGGTTGGGCACATCACGCTGAGCTCCTGGTTGAGAGTTGTGCTTCCGATCTCTATACTCAAGGCCTCGGCAAGTTGAGATAAGTGGAGTGGTTCCAGAGCAGCGACCAGCCACATCAAAGTCCGCTCTACGATAGAGCTACGATCGGGACCAGCCTCTTGAATTTCCAGCAAAATCCTGTCATAAGTTTCGTAAAGACCCTTCGGGAGTCTCTTGAGCGAGTCTGATATTCCCTTAACAGATCGGCAAGCACTAATGGCATCCAATTGGCATTGCACCCAGCTGAACCTGTGGAAAATAGAGTCAGCCACGACAGAAAAACGTAGGTATTCACTGACATTCCGTCAGCCTGTTGCAAGAGTGAATTTCGTATCTCGTATTTCAGGTCTGTGGCGAGAGACGCAAGCCTCGAACGAGCCTCCACTTCTTTGCCGATGTGAAGCTCCATGTCATTCTTGATCGACCGGACGTATTCGCTTAATGATAACGATGGCAAGTCGGATAGTGCAACGGAAATGGCTTGCTCTGGCCTACTGGTAATGAGTAGTCGCAGATCACCCTCATTTGCTGTGCTAACCAGCCGTGTGAGGAACGTCTCATCACATCGACATTCATCAAGCGCATCAATTATCGCAATGGGCCGTCGAAGGAGTCTCAAAGCCCTGCTGACGAGACCGCATAGGATGTCGATGTTGGTGGGAGCTTCGGCCCCTTGTGATTTCCTACAAAACAGGTCAAAAAATTCCGAGTTCCATTCCATGGGTACTTTTCTTAGCAACTGGACAAGAAGTGAGCGTAGAACAATAGCTCCATCTGTAGTTCTTTCTTGGCGAAAGTCGCAGTAGAAATACACCAGCGTTTCGCCGTGGACCATGAGCTCGTTAATGATTGCAGAACTGCATATGTCATAAGTCAACATCTATCATGCTGGTGACGAAGATGAATGCTTACGCGATCACTGTTTTTCCTGCTCCGGCTGAGGCACAGTGAGTCACAAATCGGCCGCGATAAAGGTTCAGAGAAGTACTAACGCTTGCCGTTGATCCACAAGACACTAGTACGTTGCACTGTTGGTGGTGTCCTCCATTCACGGAACGCTTCAGTCTCGAACACCCAGGTGCACGTGTTTTCTTGCCGCTGCGTGGAGACGAATTCATGTTTGACAGTGCAGTCGAAGCCAGCCAGCCACTGTAGTAATTGCTCTGGTGAAATTTGAATGCACAAATGAGCGATAGCATGATAGGACGCGAGAAGGCTCGTTGGACAGATGACATACCTTGTTGCTTCAATGCCAACCTTGCGAGATGCTCCTTTTTCGCACTCTCCTGCATTACTATAATACGCCCGACGACATCATTGACCATATTCTTATTATCAATCCATGTCAGAGGTCGTTAAAATGTGACTCAGATTTAGATACATACCACAATCGCCTGCTTCGCGCCCGTAATTTCCCCTTTAATCGCTCCTGAATCCTCTTCGATTTTTTGCTTAATCTCGTTCGTCACCTCGCCTGTCCTGTGAGTCACTTCCTTCCTGATCTTGACTCCCTCATCCTTCATATCATGTTGGATCTCCCTCGTTGTTGATCTGAAGAGAAAATGTATGTTATGATACTGAGGCCAAAATTCAATTCGAGTCAGTGTACGCACAATAGGCCGCCGGAGATTGTCACCAGAAGGGTACTTTTACAGCGCTCCAATTTTCCAACAGCATTCATTATGTCTGCTTGTTGAAATGGCCATGTTGACCTTGAAGTTTGGCGTAAATCAAACCACTTCTGAAACTTGCGCTCCGGTATCCGATCACGAAGAGCTCGCAAGGTTTCCTCGCACTCCTTTAATGCGCTGTCCAGAGGAAACGAGTCAATTTTGGTCATTGACGTGCCAGAATTGGACTGCTGAACGAGGACAAATATCTCATTGAGGGTTTTGTTGATGGAGAGGAGTTCGTTGTGAAGGCTCATGCGTGCAGCCTCTGCCCCCGCAACGGATGAAGTATAACTCTTTACTGCAATGATGACTTGCAGAGATAGTTGAACGATGGAAGTAATGCCGCCGACATTGGCAATCTCGCCCACGATGTTCCATGTCGCCATTGTTGGATGGAAATGCGGGAAGCGTTGGCGTGAACCATCTTTGAGTAATATTAGCGCCCTTGAGGCTTGGTCAGCTACTCACCGCACTGGCAGGTGTTAATGTGTCTAGATCTCCAGTAAAGTGCAGTAAGGTCTGACTCACTCAACAGTGAAACGAGGCTAAAAATCCGAGGCCAGAGTATCAATATGAAGAGTCAAGACGCAAACGCCCGCCTTACTAGCACCCAGAGGAGTGACTATCTTTTTTCTACTTTGTCTGCCTACCTAGGGGAGATTGTCGTGGAGCTTTCCTTTTGCTGAACACTGATGTGGGGGTCCTGTTGGAAGACATTAACTCGTAGGAGCTGACCGGTCGACCACCCTACCATTGACTTAGATATACCATATACATCGACATACATACACACTACAGTACATACCGCATGTATTGTCTACTATAGGACAAATGATAAACAAGGATTATAAAAAAATAAGGGTAAAAAAAAGCTGACCACCCACAAGCTTCAAACAGCATACATGTACAATTATTGATACTTATCTTTTGTCATCTCGGAGAGGGCGACGTTACAGCGAATGTTGATTTTGCGTTGGTGAAAGAGTGCTTTGGCTCTGCTGCATACTAATTATCGGGGCTACGAAGTAGACTCGTGACCAGCCCCTCTATGAGGCAAGCCATCGATAGAGGGAAGGGACTAGTAAAACTGGCTTTGAATTTGGATGTTGAGCGGGAAAAAAACAGGTTTTTTCAAACTTTGCCTCATAGAGGGGCTGGTCACGAGTCCAGCTACGAAGTTCCTCACGGAGGAAAGTGGTGATCGAAGATGGCGCAAATAAGCTCGGCGATCCCCTTGGGATCATCAGATGAACAATGAGCATGCTTTCCAGGAGTGTATTTTAACATATTCATGATCAAGATATCACGAGAACCCACTTCATTGTGAAATCATAAATGAGTATGTATAGTATACAGGTACGCAAGTCCCTCTTTCACACTAAATAGTAACGCCGATAATCTGAAATTCAGCACTGTACTTGCCATAGCGAAAACATACCACCAAGGGCCTACGATGAGTACTGAGCCTTGATAACATCCGCCAACTTCTCAGCTGTCGCAATAACCGCACCAGTCTGGATCTCTGTCAGCTTTCACGAGGAACCCCCAGAGCTTTCACCACTCACCGGGTGTCCTGAGACCAGTTTGGGGAAAACACTTGCATCACACACTCGGAGACCCTGAATGCCTTTAACACGCAAGTCCGAGTCCACGACGCCGTCTGGACCCATGGAACACGTCCCTATCGGGTGATATACTGTCTCTACGCGGTCTCGAATAACGTCAGCTAGCTCTGCGTCACTGAGACGAGAGAAGTGGTGATCGAGTTCAGGATCTGAGGCATCCACGTCGGTGACAGAGGTCATGGGCGCTGTGTGTGCGATTTTGAAGGCAGCGCGGACACCTCGAACGAGCACATCAATGTCATGATGTGTTTCGAGGTAGCTGCTTGTAATTAGTACAGAGTGAGGTTGAAGGAAAAGAGTACACTACCTAGGGTCGATAAGCGGATCATCCCAAGGATCGGCAGACTTGAGAAGGAGTGATCCTTTGCTTGTGGGGCTGGCAGTACGAAGATGTTTCGGTTGAGTTTGAGGTAGAAACTTTGATTGCTCACCGTAATAAGATGACCAAGAATTGATATGCGTTCGGATGTGAGCTGAGGGCCATGTTGTGCAAGCGCGCTGCGGCGGCACACATGATAATCTCAATGTCGGGTGCTTCTGGACCTGAATTGGCGTCCTCGATATCACGGCTGTACTCCGTAGGTGGGAAGAGTACCTGATCATCTGATCGGAGGAATGCTACAGATTCGCCGATCTACGCTACTATTCAGCACCAACGATGTGAGCCCAAGGAAGGCTTGACCAACGTTAGAAGCGATTGGGCCAGTGCCCCACAGTTCATATCGCAGAATGTCGCGGATGAATAAGAGCCCTGTGTGCAAATTGTGAGGTGTAAGATGGCGGAACGTCGTTCCCGTCTTTTCCTTAAGCCGGAGATTGAATGATGGATGATCCACGAGGTTGGCGCCAACGCTGGCAGTGTCGAGCACGATCGGGATGTTGTGACGCGACAGCTGCACACCTGGACCAATGCCAGAGAGCATCAAGATCTGAGGAGAGTGTATGGCGCCACCGCTATGTAAAGGTGAATAATTGTTCAAGATATATCAAACGGTCACGCACCAGACGATGACCTCCTTGGTCGCCCGCGCAATGAACTTGGGTCCGACTTTGCCCGCACGAGATCTACTGGCAAACTCAACACCAGTTGCACGTGGGATGCCACTGGAGGTGTCAAAGAGAACCTTGGAGACACGGGCATAGGTGACGACTTTCAAATTCGGACGAGCGAGGACCTCGTTGGTAAGATATGCAGACTCGGTAGATACACGAGTGCTCTTGCTGTCAATGTACGTCACTATGTATCAGCCGTTCAGTATTTGTTGACACTGACGGTCACCAGTAAACTCACTGATCTGTGCCGTACGGACGACGGATGTCAGTGAACCGTAAAACGTCAAGTCTGCGGAACCTGTAAAGAAACACTCGCCTTGTTCGTCCCCTTCGTTCCTTTAGTCGTGCAGAAATCAGGCGAGAAAGGGATGCCGGCGTTCATGCTCGCCTTGACAAAGGCTTCGGAGCCCGGCCAGAAGTGTGCACTGTATCCAATCTCGACGGGCCCATCAGCACCACGGAGAAGTGGATCAACGTGTGGGAAGCGCGAGTCTGGGGTGTATTTTTCGAACTTCCGAATATACCTGGAAAACGGGGTTATCGGATAGGGTGTAATGAGGAATGAATTACGTGCTTGCTGAAGTTGTTCCACGACCAGGATTCGTCGCCACAAATTTCCGCCCATTCGTCAAAATCAGACGGCGCGCCGTATTGTGCCCTGGGATAGTAGAAGTCGAACAGCCCACGGGAAATTGCAGTGTGACTCACATCATGGCATTCATAGCAGAGCCTGAGGGACATCAGAACATTTTCTTTGCGGGACAACAACCACTCACATCCTCCGAGGAGTTTTGCTGAACGTACGGGGATCAACGTGACAATTTGGAAGTCAAGGAACATAACTTACCGCGAGGCCAATATTTTTTCTTGTTGCCTGCGTACTGCTGGGGCTCGGTATAAAGATTGTAGTCCCATCGAGTACGGAATAGTTTCGAGAACGCAGCGGGCATCTTGCTATAAATGACATTTTGAGAGCTATGAAGAAATTCAGCATCTCTGAAGCAAACAGAACCCTCCAAGGACGCTGACCTCCCACCAGCCTCAATGAGCAGAACCCGCAGGTTTGGGTCTTCGGAGAGACGTGATGCCAGAACACATCCTGCTGTGCCTAGACGAGTTCGGGGCATAAGAAATGTAGCTATGGAACAAATATATCATACCTCCTCCAACAACGATGAAGTCCCACTCGACAAACTCGACTCCATTGTCATTGACTTCCCTCGCTACTTTCGTGTAGTCCGTTATGAGCTTCGGTTGTTTCGCTGTGAGGTACCTCAGGACGATCGTCAACGCCATGACGCTTGCTGCTGCACCAACAGAACGTCTGGCAGGGGTGCCAGCACGAGCGAGAAGGGTATTCAAAAGGCCGAGTAGCGCCCAAACGCGTCTTAAGTTATGAATCATGATGCTATGCAGGCAGCGGTGGTATGTAACGTGGAAAGGAACGTTTTAGGGAGCTTAGGGATCCGGATCCAATTCGATCATGAGGCTCATACTTCATCCGGCGGTGGGTAAGTCTTACTTATGAGCCCCTGCCAGTACTTGACCAGTACTAGTGACCAGGGCTTAATTCAAGGCGGTTATGCAGTTATGCGTATTTGTAACATTGCAAGAGTATTTGACAATCAAGTGACCACGTGTCAAACGCGGCAATTGACCTTACATACTTGAGAGAACGAAGCTTGCCATCCACCACCAGCCTGGGTGTCTACAATTACGATGACGCCGTCGAGGATAATCTAGCAGTCCCTTCAACTATAGGTTTGTTCGTCTGGCACCCTCATCTTCTGAACTGCTGACGATGGATTCAAAGGTTAAGTCGTAAAGCCACGCTGTGGCGCCGTCAACGGCAGCGACCCTATTTTCATTCCGGCTGATACCCTGTATGATATTCCTCAGTTCGATTCGAATAAATCCATGCAGGGTGTTTTATTCTGTGTTTGTAGTGCATCACAGAAAGGACCTATGGGGGCCTGATGGTACGAAAGATCTGGATATCTGAAATACTTCACGTCTAATGTTCCCCAGCTCTTGAATTTGATCCTGATGGGTTCCTGGATGAACGACTGCATAAATATTCAACTCATAGATCTTCCTTCCTTTCACTGCTGGTCTTAGAATATCTGCTGGTCATCAGGTAAGCGCCTTTGCATACATAGGCCTCATAATCCAAAGTTTGCATACCACGAAACGTCTTTCTTCCTTGTTTGGTTGCTTCGGAGCTTCTCGTCGGTATCCCTGGATTTTAAAATGCAAACACCACCGGCGGAACGGGTCAATGAATCTGGACGGAGGGTGTGGACAAGGTTGTTTTCAAGGCACACTTTACAACTGATGTCCAAGCAAGCGCCCTTGGTGTCGACCTCTTAACGTGCTTGCTCACATGTCTTAGGATGGCTTGTGAGTGAGGATGGAAGAAGCTTCGCATGATGAAGTGTTTTGTATAAATAAGTGTTCATGTGGACGGCGCAAATACCCCACGACGCTTGTATGTTTAGAGTCCAGAGTAGCCAGCTGTTCGAATCGGAGAAGCGTGCAGTCACGCTCGACAGAGAACAAACAACTTGAATTCGCTTCCTTTATGTATTAATTATGGGAGCGTAACTCGCCCGAAGCTGACTAGGAAGTGGTCGAGTTTTAAACCAACGGCGTCGACGTCGTAGCTATAACAGCTCTGGCTGAGGCAACAATGCGTGAATACAGGTGAATACCTAGGAGAGTCCGCAGAACTATACATGAAGGTTCCGAATCCGAATGTAAATGAAAACCAAACAGAACGTATCATACACTGCGTTCCATATTAACTGCAAATGAAATTCGTACAAGCTCATGCTTCCATAGCACGGAACACCTAAGCAGCCAACGACAAAGAGTCAGCAAAACCCAAAGCAAGCAAAATGATCACGCACCTTGACATGCCCACTTTTCAAATCCTCCAACCTATAACTCACATTCTCCACAGTCTGCGTAGCCTTCGGTGTCAGCACGCCGTTTGCCATCCGCCTCCATCTTCGTAGCAAACTCACCTGCTGACCGACATGCTGGTTCGCCTGCCACACACGAACTTTGCTCTTTTTGCCCTCCACCTCGCTTACCACGCCGACAAGAGGCCCGTTCTCCCCTATGCCAACAGTCTGAGTGTATGCGTGAAGCCCCTTGTATCCCTTGAGCTTCGCGTCCCAAAAGGCAATCACGTCACCCGGGAGAATCTCAGAGACGCGGCGCTGCACCGACGCAGCCGTCTGCACATATGTCAAGTACCCCCAATCTTCACCCTCCCCTGAGACGTGTTGTGCATTGGGAACTTGTGCAAAGACAGCTCGGACAAAACCCGCATACGAACCGTCCCCAACAAGTGAGCGTTTGGATTTCTCAAACAGCCCTGTCGCAGACTCCACCATCTGCACTCCAACCTTGCCCCAGAGCACCATCAGCTCGTCCGCGCTGAGCTCCTGGTCGGCAGGACGAGCAGTCTGCGCTGAGGCACGGCGAGACTCGGATTTACGAGTTGATGGTGGAGTAGACCCCTGAAATGTCGAATCTTCTGAGAATCCGGATGAAGCTGGTTCTTCTTCATCGCTAAATTCAGATGCAGCTTGGGGGATTGACGGGAGCTCCCATTGAGTACTGCTAGTCATCTCTTCAGGAGGGTCGATGGCGGATGGGGGCGGTGGTGGTGGTGGTGGAGGGGCTGAACGAGGAGGAGCACGGCTGAAACGGCGTGGTGGAGGCGCAGGAGGCTCTTCCTCGGCATCTGGGTCAGGCTCAACCATCACGTACTCTGACTGGAGACGGATACCGAGCTCTGATGAGATGCCTTCAAAGGGCTGAATGCGCATGCTGTTTCTGTATGGGGGTCTCGCACGCGCTCGAGTAGTCAACCGAGGACTTCCTAGAGGACGATACCGTCGCAACGCTAGGACGGCGGTTAAGTATGCTAGCGGGGATGGAAGGAATTGGAGGTCTTCCAACGGGAGGGGGCGAACGCGGAGGAGGTGTCGGAAGTACATCCACAGACCTCAGCGTCAAGGATGACCGTCGGGGCGGGGGCAGAAACGGCGATTCTTCCTCAGCTGATCCCTCGAACATCCGCATCTGAATAATAGACTTCCACAATCTCACTCTCTTCCATTTCAATACGCACGCCATCATCCGACGTCGTTTGGCTTTGTTCCTGCTCCGAATCGACATCGACAGGTGGCGGTGGTCGGCGTGCGGGGGCAGGTACGGGAAGCGCTGCATCTTCATTCTCGCTATCATCTTGCCTTGATGCAAGCCGCCTGGCAGTGGCAGGCGCTACGCCGGCACCAAGCGGCAGCATCCCAAATCGCATGCCACCCATACCTGCAAGTTTTGCAGAGATCCGCTGCTTCCTCGCCGCCTCGTCCTCTTCTGTCTCTTTGTCTTCCTGGACAGGCTCGTTAGCGTCGACTTCGGGTTCATCAGGAGGGATAGACGTCGGGGGAGGTGCACGGGGAAACGTAGGTCGACTAAGCGGTGTAGGGACTGGTGGTGCACCAAAACGAATACCGCCTAAACGGGCCATACGTTCTGCGATCGTCCGTCTGCGCAGCGATTCATCATCCTCTTCTTCAGGCTCCTGAACCTGCTGAGGCTGAGAGGGTGTCTCAGCATCTGAGAACTCTGCCAAAGGATATTCCATGAGCTATTTCCAGCCATCAGCCAACCACAACTCACCTCGATCAGCATCATCCTCACTCGGAAGTGCAGGAACGATGAGTGGGAGTGCAGTGATAATCGGTGGAGAAGTCGGTCTGCGCACCGGCGGGCGAGGAGATATCGGCACAGGCGGTGGCGTAGGGGGAGCTTCCATGTCCACAGACTTAACACTCGCACTCGTGCGCCGAGCAACGCGAGGGGGTGTCGTAGGGGAAACCTCAATATCAACAGACTTGACACTCGCACTCGTCCGCCGAGCAACGCGAGAGGGTGGCGCAGGCGGCTTTTCCTCAGCGGTTTTCACTGTCAAACCAGGATATCAGCACCATCCAGCTTACAGCACTCGCACAATGATCACGTACCATTCTTCACTGGGGGAGGTACCGGCCGCGGCGCAGGCGACTCGGGCCTCTCCTCATCAGCCTGAAGCGCATAGAGCGGTCTGGGTGGTGGCGGTGGAGATGGCGGTGGATTCGAAGGCTTCGATGATAAATTAACAGGTGGGGGTGGGATCGGACGTGTGATACGTGCGGGGGCCATCTCGTCGTCTTCTTTGTTCTGGTCTGAGGCTAATTCTTGAGTAAGGACTTCGTGCGCGTCATCTAATGGTGCTGAGTCAACGATATCTGTTAATGCGGCCCCCTCGCCCTGAGCGCTTGTGCCTGATTGAAATTCGTCCTGACCGGGTTCATCTTCCTGTGGAATAGGACACGGCAGCGGAGGTGGCGGTGGAATAACAGCGCCGAACGTGTGTGCCTCGGCTGGTTGCGACGCAGGTTCCCAAGCTTCGGGCTCATTCAAAACCTGATCCCCATCATCCTCATATCGCTCTCGTTCGTCCATCTCATCGTTATACAACACGCGGCGAGTCGTGCCCAAGTCAGGTTGAGGTTCATCGTCGAACTCGGCTGGTACAAAAAAAGCAACCAAAGATCGATTAATACACTACAAAATGAATACAGGCGGTAAAATTAGCATTCACCAGCACGAGAAGCGGGCTCGTCTGCTTCTCTTGCTTCTTTGGCTTCTTCTGGTTCATCATCGACGTGGGACTGCGGAGGGATGTGGGCAGCAGGGGGAGAGGGAATTGATTCGCCAACTTCCTCGAGGTCCACGTTGACTTCGTCTTCGACGTCGAGAGGTTCTTCTACTGGTACAGGCGAAATAGGGACTGAGTCACGTCTAGCGGTAGGTGAGGGGATGGATTCCCTGCGGGGTACAGGCGGGGACCCCGCAAGTGGGTTAAATGCACCCATCTGGGAAAGCTTAGCAGCTACACGTTTCCTACGCGCTTCTTCCTCTTCTTCATCCTGTTCCTGTTGCATCTGCTCATCATGCTCAAGCTCTTGCTCCTCTTCTTCCTGCGCAGGCGCAGGCTCAGGCTCACATGCATCGACAGGGACATCTTCCTCTTCGAGCGTATTCGCGGGGCCCACCTCGACTGTGTCAAGTTCGACACTCACACCTACGTCGCCGATCTCCTTCTGTACGTCGCCGATGACAAGAATCTGCTCTGATGACGGAACCGGGACTTGTTCTGGACTTTCGACTTGTTCTAGAGACGTCACTGTTACAACGGATGGTCTGGCCTCTGGTTCAGGTTCAGGTTCAGTCGTAGACTCAGCATCTGGGGCCTCTTCAGTAGTTTCTGGTGCTGCAGCAGGTACAGGGACGTCTGGGAGCTGGGTTGTAGGAGGGGACTTGTATGCCTTCTTACGTGGGGGAGCTGCGCGGCGTGGACCGGCGGGTACTGGCATTGAGCGAACGGACGTTGTGTTAGAAGAGGTATCAGCAATGGAGAGAGAGGAAGAATCGGAGTCCTTGCGTGTAGGGTCAAGGAAGTTATCTGTAGAACGTCACTAATACTGACTTTAGGGCAAAAATTAGAAGACTAGCCTGAATCAGTCGCCTCTTCCTTGACATCTGAGGGAGGGTTTAGAGCTTCCGCAGGAGAAGTCACTAGCACAAGCATTATTTCATAATACATATTAGAGATGGAATTGCATACCGTCTGGAGCTGAATCTGGCAGGATCGCTTCCTCCTCCTGCTTGAGCTGAGGTGGAGGAGTCGCTGGCTTCTTGGGAGCTGGCTTCCTGGCAAACATAGGCGGACCCATGCCGACTCGGGCACCACCAAGACGAGCCATACGAGCAGCGATCGCGGCACGGCGTTGCCTCTCTTCTTCCTCCGGATCTTGTTCAGGCTCAGCATCATCCTGCTGAGCCTCATGTTCGTCTTCTAGTTGAGCCGGATCAGGGTCGTCCGCAGCAGGGGGAGGGGACCCTGGGGCCTCAATCACCCCGCCTGGGGGAACGACATCATCCGCAGGAGGCGATACTGGTCGTGGTGGTTTCCATTTTGGTTTGTCTGTAGGCTTTGGGAGGATCGGGGGCGGGGCGCCGCCGCCAAACGCACCCTTTCCTTGGAGAGCGGCCATGCGCTCCTTGAGACTCCCGCCCTTGCCGATGCTCTCCATCGCGTCTGATGCAGACATCCCAGCAGTCTTACGCTCTGGTTCTGGCGATTGAGGAGGTGAGGGTACCTTGGGTTTCCATGATTGAAGGGTCGAGGGCTTCGGGCGTGGTGCAGGCCCAGGAGTGGGTGCTGCACCCTTGTTAGCATTCTCGAAAGCGGCGATCCTGTCGCGCAGTGAGCCTGGCTTTGGTTTCGGAGGTGTTTCACTCATGGTTGATAGATTTGTAGATGGAGATGGTAGCAGCGGACTACGAGAGTCGCAACATGTTTGGCCGCGTTCACTGACACGAGGCTATCGATGACCCATGTTTCTCACGCTTGACTGTAAGGAAACCACAAGGAAACCATCACGAATCATGAATCATGCCAGCGCTGATCCAATCCTGTGCACTCTGAAAAGAACCTATAGGTGCAAAGCAAGAAGTGATACGAATCTACGAATTGGAAATGAAAACGCAAGAATTGGAGTATGATTCAGAAATCTGGCCAAAGAAGATCTAGGAAGGAGCGAGACCCTAAGCCTGCGAGTATGTTAAAGTGGTCAAGATACAGAACACCCTAATTATCGCGTTATCGAAACTCTTCGTGGCTGCAGCGCGAGATGGTTCTGCCTGCTGTGACTGGCTAGCCACTGATTTTAATTCAATTTCTTGCTGGGCGAATTAGACCCTACGAAACAACTACATCAGGAAACCCATTGAATAAATAGACAAGGTCGTGATACCTGGCAGTAGGTATGGGAACGTTGTCAATATCTTCCTCTTATTCATCATTCATCAGGTCGACGTCATAGACCGGCAGTGGCACATCCGGCTTCTTCTTCTTCTTCTGGAACCAGCTGAGGCAAAAGAAGAGTGTATACGGTCGTGTTCCGTCGTCCACACCAACAGCGTCACCCTGGAAAAGGACGCGGTCAGATCTCACGAACCATGTATTGCAGAAAACAAACATATGTGGCTTGTCCGAAAGGGACATCGACGGCTTCCTTTCGTCTCGGTAAACGCTCCTTGTTCTTGCCCTTCTGGTCTGACGACGGCCGAATGCCATCAAAGAAGGTACTCATATTATGCAAGCGAGAAGATGAAGAGCTTTCTGCATGAGCGCGTGGCAATGTATAGTGATTAGCGTGTGCACGAGACCTGTCGAGACGCTCGTAGTTCACAAAATTAGTGCGCCGCTGGCCAGGGATCTCCGACTGTAAGTGTCTGATCAAACAATGGACTAGTCACTGATCGCAACACCACCTACATCAAGAAGACCTTTTCTACACTTGATAGATAGTCAGTTCACAGATCGAGTGTTGGGTTATAAAACATACCTGTTGTTTTCCCCGTGACAAACCAGCCTGGCATGAGAGCACTGAGCTTTTGCGTGGAGTGAATTAACAGTGGGGGGAGTCACCTTATTTTTTTCGACCAGAGAATCAAATTGCGCTGCTGTAAGCACATCCTCTGATATCTCCCATTGCGAGATTGTGTTCAAACCACCACTGAATAGAAAGCGTCCATCGACCGAGAACGCAACATCACACACCTCATCCGAGTGCTCGTACCGTGCGACTTCTGTCCCTGTGTGCAGCTGCCACAAGCGGACGGTACAATCTCCAGATACCGATGCGAGAAGGGTGCCAGCCGGGTTCAACGTGATATGATTAGTGAATATATCTTCCTTATCATGACGGCCAGTCCAGGGATCACCAGCCTGTTTCCACGTGGAGGTATCCCAAGAGCGAATGGTAACATCATCATCACTACCTACTGAGAGGAGATGGACGCCATCGGGAGTCCAGGCGAGCCACATATTCCACTCATTGACAAAGTCAGAGTGGCCATTGAATTCAGCAAGACACTCCCTCCTGTCCAAGTCCCATATTTGGATCTCTTCTTTGGTAGCAACGCCAAGGTTACCGGACGGAGAAAATCGGACGCAATTGACCCAATTGCGCCATGCGCCGCACGGAAGGGGATCACCTCGAGTCTTCCAGGTGCTGGTGTCCCATAATATAACCGTGCCATTGAATGACCCACTGGCGAGAATGTCGCCATCAGAGGAAACATCCAAAGCTTCCACAATGTCGGTGTGACCATTCAAGGGACCTGCAACGACCTTCCCAGTCTTAGCATCGCGAACCCATAGTTGCCAACACTCCGGTTCCTCGACATCGGTCGGGTACTCTCCCTCAGCGCTAACCACGTGCTTCCCGTTTCGTGAGATCACCAGTGCGCCGACGTCTTTCTCCACCTCCCACTTCATTATTTCCGTGCCATCTTCAAGCCTCCAGATGCGTATTGTCTTATCGTAAGACGCAGTGGCTATTCTCTTGCCGTCTGGAAACGTAGCAATGCAGGTGATAGTCTGCTCATGGCTTCCAAATATCTTGACGGGATCTTGACCCGACCCAGGTATTTGCTTGTCGCCTTTCGTGCTCGGTTTTTGATCTGGTTTGCTTGGCATGCCTAGCAGAAAGTCAGCGTAGGCTTAGACAACGACGCAGGAAAGCTACCTGTCACGACACTAATGGTTTGTGGTCAAGATGCGTAGCTGTGCAGAGCGTCTACTGAATACAACACATGTACGTGACCTCGTGATCTGCTTCTCAGCGTCAATGCGATCCTGGCGTCTGTGCACAGCACCATGCGAAAACGTACTGATCAGGGAAGGGCTAATTAAATATGTTACATATCTTCGCTCACCGAGGAGGGAGGTGTCACACGTTCAGCTCAGGCGAGGTCTGAACCTGAGAAAACGGAGACTGCAAGCGACAAGGATGTGGCTAGCAGGGCTGTGAAGGTGGTGAAACTCATGCGGGAGATCGGATGCGCTACTTATTGCTCATGAGGCCATGTATTACATTCAAAGCAAAGACGTTCAACGCACCGACGAACACAATGCGACACCGTGCTGTCTGACACGGGCAGTTGGGTTGAGCTTGGGCTTTCGAAGACCAAGTTAGATGATTCTCGGTCATGCGTTCCTCGAATCCATTAATTTCGACGCCATCGGTAGATACAGCCGCAGCGCATCTGTAACGTTGTCAGATAGGCTATCAATGAACATGTCATGAATCATACCTATAAACCGAGTGCCACGAAACACAAATCATCGTCAAGTTCCGAACGCAATTGAGAGGAAAGACATTCATCTGCAAATCTGATCTGAAGTTGACAGAAATACGCACGTAGGTGATCACATATGTCACAAATGACTATCTAGGTGATATATGAGTATTGCCACTTGAACGAAAGAGAAAACTGACTGGCAGTGGATCAACGCCACGTCTCCTCTCCGCCAAGCATATCTCCCACTTCGTGTCACATCTGAAAACAGTCAACAAATGACCGTAAGATAGTGGTAGAGAAGAGGACACCGCTTCGAGATTGGAAACACGTATGGACACGCATTACACGTCCACGCCTTTATTGTACCCTGTTTCCGAGGATATCATAAACACATTAACGCATGTCGGTCAGAACGGCATGTATATGATATAATATTGCCAACGATGTAGTAGAAAGAAGACTTCGGTACACCTTCGAAATCGATTTCACGCTGCATTGTAATTTGTTGGCAGCCAAAAAGCACGCACACGTAGTCATCGACTGATCTGTAGACCTGATCTGTATCTTATTGAAATAATTTGAAATACGCGCGTGGATAACTTGCGCTGCGGGTTGTGAATGCCAATGAGTATTGCCATTTGAACGAGAGAAGGAACTGACCGGGAATAGAATCACGGCAAGGCACCTCTTGCCAATATTAATTCATGATGGTATTCCGCCATATGCACGGCTACAAGGGTGGTCTGGAGCTAGTGGAACTGTCCCCTCCAGCGATTTTGTTCACGATGAACGTTCATCCAGCATGTCCGAGTCAATTTCACGACACCAGGCAAGTTAAACTTGAGTGTTCTGCTTGTTCCGTCAGTCGGTTGATGGAAGAAAAACTTTCGAGTGTTGACGAGATTGAAAGTAACATCTCTGGGATTGATGCGGAATGACGTGGATAGTGGACACTGTTAGGGTAAACGGCTATCTTCATTCTATCGTGGTCTGCCTAAGGGAGACTACTGTTAGGGTGATCAATTGATGATGAGTGGCTGTGCAGCTTTGTTCGGCAAAGCCCTTGGATCCAACCAAACAACTGCTCTTTCTGCTTCTGAAGGCGTCGATCTACGAACTGAAGTGAAAATGCAAGAATCGAAGTAAACATCGGTATCGAAGACTCGAAGTCCAAAGAGTTTGGTCGGCGAGTAACGCGGGTATTGACAATGGTAGTCAGTACAACAGATGCGAGCTGATACATATAATACGAGTCTATAACGTCCTTCCCCAATCCAATAATCCGACTCAATGCCCAAGCCTTCTCCCAATCTTCATAACCTGCACAAAAATGTATGAGAGTATGCGACATCGTAAGTTAAACATCATCCCATGTCGTACAATACGGCAGACAAGAGGAGCACGGGACGAGATTTGCTGCCCTTGCGGCAACTCACAGCTTGCATTAACTTGGAATCTGTGCAAAAGGTAGCTCTATTCAGAAGGCGAATTATTCGCGTCATCCAATGAAGCGCAGCGGCCGTTCTGTCATTGTGCACTCGTCGGTTCCGGGGTATCCTTCACCTTGGCTCCGTAGAACCAAGCGGTATTCCTGTCGTCAGTTATGATAGTGTTGTCATAGTGTTTCTGAAGCGCGCGAGTTGAGTTCGATCATGACTACATAAATGTGACAATGCTTACGCCCTCCATGACGACTTTCGCATAGTGAGCCGGATCACCTCCATGAGAGGTGGAGAAATCGATCGGGGACCCATCGTTGATAACAAAGAAGCTGTCGATCAACAGTTCGTCAAACCGTTGGGTACCTGATGCAAGCAGGAACAAATACTAGAGTACCGCGTAACCACACGAGCCATTGTGCCAATTAACGTATGTGTCAGAATGCTTCGTCTTTTCGGCGGAAAAAGGTCTATCGCTGTCTGGCAAAAGGCGGGCACTTGGGGTCAGCAAGTCAAACCGGCCCCAATCTGTTCCAATAACAATGAAAACGAATTAGTGTCTGGCATGCTTGAGCCTTGGCAGCACTGAAGCGCGCACCAGTGTCGATTTCAAGTGAGATAGCCGTCTTGAAAACCTTAGGGTGCGTAATGATGTGATTAAACGCGGCTGAAAGCTGGTCCGCATAGATCGCGAGCACGGGATCGCCCGTCAACTTCATCAAATTCCAGAGCTCCTCGACGTTGAGGCTCAGCAAGGAGCTGGGGTGTTTCCCGGTTGTAGCCACCCACTCCTCATATTCCTTATAGGATGCGGGGTTGCTCGTGAGCTTATTGGCGATGCTTCTGTCACCGCCCAAGGCCAAGACGTTGTACTGCCAGGTTCTTAAAAAAGTCTTGTACTGGGCCTCCTCCATCACTGTGGGATCTATGATCCCGCCGCTTGGAATGCCGCCGACGGCAGCTTTGACGTCTGCGGTAAACATCGTGTTGACTGCTGGATCTGTGTTTGAACACCACACCGTCTACCCCAATGATAAGCCCCGACTACAGATGTTTGTGGACAACTGAGGGACGTACTAACAGATACCGGGCACCATAACTGGCCGATACGATGACGTGGGATCCGTTTAATGCGAAGAAGTCTTTGTACTTTGCCACAGCACTGGAATCTTGCCCGTCAAAGGGTATCGGTAGACCTCTTACTCTCTTGAGGAGCACCACTGTATTGATCTTACTAGAGTATTCCTGGAGATTCACGATATACTTTATCTTTGTGAAACTGAAGAACATGTATTGTTGGTTGATAAGAAACAATTTTTGAGAGGCTGCTGCCACAGACGTAGTTCCGGTAAGTGCGAAGTAGCGGCTGCGCAGACTGGCGTCATTGCTAAACGCAGCATCGGCGTCGTTGCCGTTTGGGTAATGACGAAGGTCGCTTTCAACAGTTCGGACGTCTGGAGTGATGGAGACCATGATCGGAACGTCGTACTTCCTACCGTCTAGACGTGGGATGATGGTCAGTCACCGTCTGCGGTGTTTGCCATGGTGTACACACCAAATTCGACATTTTGTTGCAGTGTGTCGAAGTCAATGTTGATCATGCGATCTCCTCTCTTCACAAGTATATCAATCTGCGGAGAGTCAAGAGAGACCTGCATCTCATTCAAGTAAACGTACTGCGTTAACGGGGATCGAGGTTGTTTGGGTCACGTCTATGGTATAGCCAAGACGATCAGTATAAGGAAATACAGGGTTAGTAGTAGCCATCGAGGGCAAGGCAGCAGAGCACATGCAGTACAGAAATGGGGCTGAAAAGACGCGAGGGGTGGCATTCAATTGTGAACGGGTGCAGGAAAACGCTCGCTTGACGATGCTAGTATCGATGAAGTTCAGTCTGCAACGCCCGCCACTAAAACTTGAGGCTTATATAAGCAGGTGCTGGCTCCATCAATTAAAATCGTTTATCGTTCATAATATGAACAGACGAACGGGAGGTTGATGCGGCATTCATCAGGACAGAGATGACCATGAAAGCAGAGATACAAAAAGACAATAAGCGGACGAGAAGGTATACCACAGATATCATATGATGCCTTGATCTTCTTTTTCTTTTTCTCTTTGTCTTTCTTCTCGACCGGGTCAGAGGGACAGTCTTAGAGAGAGAAATTAGCAAAAATCGCGAATACTGGTGAGCTCAGGGGTACATCGGCAGTAGCAGCCTTTGCTTTGTGTGCTGCTTTGACTGCCTTCTTCTCTCCCTTCGACAGCCTCGCCTTCTTCTCTACAGGCTACTCGTCCGCCTCGATGATCCACATCGATCTCTCGACCTCTTCTTTTTCTTGTTCTTCTTGAGTGACTTCAATCAAGGGCAATATAGGCTCAACATCATCCATCTCAGCATCTGGTTTATCATCCATATCCTTCGTCATCCTCCATCAAGTCCAATGCGAGGCTGTCGAGGACCTTGCAGATAGCATCGACGTTCTTGGTCCGTGGTGCACCAGTCTCGAAGAAGTTGAGGCGCTCCTCTACTTGTGCACGGAGGGCCTCGCCGAATTTTGCACTTGGGTTATCTGGGTAATTTTAGTAAGGGGTGAATCTCTAGGGATGAGGGGAGTTACCTGAGTAGCAGTCTATCCGAGAAGCGATACAGCATTTATGTGCGTTATCACGAGAGGTTTCATAGAATAATGCGAATGCGGCAAGAACCATATAATCCACCTCGATTATGCGCCGTATGCTCCATTGTCTCGCATTGCGATATGCTGAGATGGGAACGCGAGATGCCTAATATGAGTGCTCGAACCATGCGACTACACGCCTGTGTGGAACTGCAAGGAGTGAACAGTGTGATCATGATGCTATTAGCGAGCCACTGCCAAGTTCCACAGTCAAGCTGCGTTGCAAACATTCAACCAGCTCGAGGATTTTTGGAGAGATGGCATGACTAGTCCATGCAAAATTGCAAATGTTGCAACGTTGAATGGTAATGTGAATGCTACGGGGGAGTCGGGATCATATCTGGTGGATTAGATAATGAACGCGACAGACCCGGCCCTAAACTACTAGGGCATGCTTCAGTCCACTGCCAGGGGGTGATGGGATAGGTATGTAAAGGGGAGCTTGTGCGCGTCGTTTGTCGCGGCATCATTGGCGTTGAGCTTAATCTGTTACTTTGTACTAATCGCGTGCCCAGACCATCGGCAACGAACCTACGACTTCTTCAGCGCCTCGAGCTTAATATCTGTATCTCCTCTTCTTGCATAAAATGGGTATCAAGTCTTACTGCAGCCTGCTCTGATTCTCCCCATAAAACATATTCAACCACTCGTGAGTCATAATGCGTGGATTAGCATCACAATATTATCTGCAGCACTCCCAGTCACCTTCCATGACGTTCTCTCTCAAACTACTCAGCGTTACCCTTCGCATGAGCTCGGTTTCTGAGTCCGCTCATAATTCATCCATCTAAGTAATGACATTCAGCGCCTTCATCCAGTATGTGCGCAACCTCGCTCGCGCCAAATAAGGTCGCATGCACGTCTACACCGCAGTGGGAAACCGATAGTGTTTGACGAGCTTGTATGATACTATAATACCGGCACCAGTGCAATATACTCTTAACGTGACAGAATATGTCCGGGGTTCATGTGTATGGTGGGAACCCTCACATAACTCGATCTACTCTGTGTCCGCCACAATATTTCCTCTCATCTGGATCATTAAAAAGATCCAGTGGTTGGGCGACCTAGAACGTTTGACGGGATATGGATTACTCGTGTACTTGCAGCTACGCAAAAATATGCAATGCCTTCACAACACTAAGGCAGCGATGTGCAGTCCTCAAAAGGGTACTTCTACGTAAAAGGCAGAATCGCACCTGATGGTTTTTCAGCGGTGTTTGAGGCCAGAGGAATGATTTGGACTTCTATATGTATGCGTATCGAGACTGTGTCTGATAGGAGAAAGAAAATGATGGATTGTGTGCGATAGGGATGATGAGAACAACCTATGAAAGGTGAACAAAAGTTTGCCCGAAACGCTAGTAGCCCGAACAGGTTACCTATGTGAGTGAAGTGGTTTAGGATGCGAGCATGCGTATCGGACGAAACTGGTTGATAGCAGATTCGAAAAAAACATAAAGGACAGGAAAGTAGTGCCAAGGTGGAACTAATGACTTCGGCTTCGGCAGCGTTCCGTTTGGCACGCAGTCGAGAATGAGAATGACTTGTGTTCAGGTTCGGGTTCTGACCAGCATCCCAAAATCCGTAAAGCTCGCTCATCTGGACCGTCAACGAGAGTGGTCGAACGATCCCTAGATACAGTAGTGTGAGGACGTAGTATACCGACAGAGGACGATCGATGATCACTTACAGCGAATGCGACAGAATTACGAATGGGTCTCACGCTAGACACCTATGTGAATAAATACAATCTGCTGTTCTAGTGGAATCTTCTTCTTGCGCAACGACTTCAGAGCCTTGTGCAACGCCACCGCAGCCCGTGTGCAGTCCAATCTCCCTGAACTATCAACCAGGTTGCCGTAAAAAGCAGACACGACCTGTCGTGCAACCTCGTCGTCGACAGACCACATAGAACCAATCACACTGCGAAATCCGGAGAATTGCATGGCCGCAGCGAGATGAATTGACTCATCGGGACTCATCTCATCGCCTACGGTAGTGTGGCAAGCGGATAAGAATGCAAACTCTGGATTCTGCCAGTGAGATTGGATGATGTCCGTGATCATTAAATCCCCGTCGCCCATTGCGAAAGAAGATTTGAATGATTGTTTTCGATTGGGCATTCCATGGCAGGCTAGGTGGAGCCACTGATTATGGCGTAGTGCATTGAGTGCACCCTGGACTGTTGCATCGCTGTCCTCCAGAGAAGTGAAGGAGACGAGGGGCGAGAGACGCCGAGCGACTACAGCCAACTCAGGAGCGACACATCGGAGCTTCTTCCCTCTGACCGGATTTGCTTGACCGACGGCAACGAAATGTTGCGTGGTTGCATCCACCGAACCCTGCCGTCTCGCACGAATAAGAATAGCCAAAGTCGGGGTATAGGAGGAGATGTAAATATGAGATAAATTGTCCCTCTTCTTCTCGTACGGCCCGGCTGCATGTAGAGGAAGCAGAGTGAACTCAGCGGTGGGACACCACCAGATACGCGAGCCAGGTTCAACTTTTGACTCCCTAAGCGCTTGGACCACGGGGTCAACGATGCAATCCCAAAGGTTGCGGAGGATGCTGACAAGGTCGTCTTGATGATTAGAAGAACCAAATTCTTCTGCGAGGGACTGAAACTCGGAGGACAGCTCCAAGACCTCGGACTGCGTGATATGAAGGGGAATGTGGACAGGATCTTGGGTGCCAAAGATGATCAAGGCGTCGCAGCTGTACTGACTAGCATTCACGATGATGACCGGACCTTCTTCAGCTGCCTCCTGAAGGTCAGAAAATAGTGGAGGCAAGAGAAACCGAGAAAAGTCAGGGAGCACGCTGCGGATGCGTGAGACGACATCGTCCCATTGCATGGTCAGTTGCCGAATTTGCGGGGACTGGTCTTCAGTAGACTGATCGAACGTGTTACGAAGAAGAAAGCTCAGTCGCCTGAACTCTTCCGCAAATGCTGCGCCGGTATCACCTGAAAGGGAAAGTTCATCTAGTGGTGTGCGGAAGCGTGCCAAGTGGGTCCAGAATACTGCACGGCCTTGCTCCACCAGTTCCACAGCAGTGGTCAAAGCACCACAACGAACACAGCACGAGAAAGCATCCGTGGCAAGGGAAGAAGTGGCTTCCTTGAATATGTCGAAATGGCGCGATGAAGATGACAAAAGAGCAACATGCCGATCCAGGAATTTCAAAGCGGTCTGATAGGCAACCAATGCAGAGCCATGATTCAACTGCTCAGCGGAGCTTACCCATGACTTGGCAGCGTTAAGATCGCTCCGGGATGGTGCATTAGAGACGTGGGGGAGTTCCGAATACAACATAAATGATTCATCCAGGTCCGACATGACATTCCGCTGCTTGAACCTGGATCGAAGACTGTAAGAAAGAGCGTCGAGAGACGATGATCGATAAGAATGACCGGGGGGACGGAGTAGTAGTGCAGCTCGATGGAGCTCTATGGCATCATCAAGGTCAGATGGGGAGCTTCGCTGCTCGAATCTGTCATGAAGGCCAATGGCAAGGTTGCTGAGAGACAGGGATCGATCAGAATGACCACAGGGACGGAGGATGAGTGCAGCTCGATGAAGCTCAATGACCTCATCAATGTCGGATGAGAAGCCTCGTTGCTCGAATCTGTCTCGAAGACTGACGGCAAGATTGTTGAGAGACATGGATCGATTAGAATGACCAGGGGGACAGAGGAGTAGGGCAGTCCGATCGAGCTTAATGGTCTCATCAAGGTCAGACAGGATGCCACGCTTGCGGAATCTGTCTTGAAGGCCGTTGGCAAGATTGGAGAGAGATGAGGCGCGATCATAATGCCCGGGGGGATGGAGGATGAGTGCAGCTCGATGAAGCTCAATAGCCTCATCAAGGTCAGATGAGGAGCCCCGCTGCTCGAATCTGTCTCGAAGGCTGATGGCAAGATTGTTGAGATACTTGGATCGATTAGAATGACCAGGGGGGCACAGAAGTAGTGCAGCTCGATTGAGCTCAACGGCCTCATCAAGGTCAGACAGGGCGCCATACTGGTGGAATCTGTCTTGAAGGCTGAGGGCAATATTGGAGAGAGATGAGGCTCGATCAGAATGTCCGGGGGGACGGAGGAGGAGTGCAGCTCGATGAAGCTCGATGGCCTCATCAACATCAGACAGGGTGCCACGCTGGTGGAATCTGTCTTGAAGGCTGAGGGCAAGATTGTTGAGAGATGAGGCTCGATCAGAATGTCCGGGAAGACGGAGAAGGAGTGCAACTCGATGAAGCTCAATGGCCTCATCAAGGTCAGATGAGGAACCTCGCTGCTCGAATCTGTCTCGAAGGCTGACGGCAAGATTGTTGAGAGAAGCGGATCGATCACCAGGGGGGCGGAGGAGTAGTGCAGCTCGATCAAGCTCAATGGCCTCATCAAGGTCAGACAGAGCGCCACGCTGGCGGAATTTGGCTCGAAGGCCGTTGGCAAGATCGGAGAGAGATGAGGCTCGATCAGAATGTCCGGGGGGACGGAGTAGGAGTGCAGCTCGATCAAGAAGAATGGCCTCATCAAGGTCAGACAGGGTGCCACGCTGGTGGAATCTGTCTTGAAGGCTGAGGGCAAGATTGTTGAGAGACATGGATCGATCGGAATGACCGTGGGGACGGAGGAGCAGTGCAACCCGATTGAACTCGATGGCCTCATCAAAGTCAGACAGGGCGCCATTCTGGTGGAACCTGTCTCTAAGCCTGTTGGCAAGATTGTTGAGACACACGAATCGACCAAAAGAACCAAGGGGACGGAGCTTCAGTGCAGCCCGGTAGAGCTCAATGGACTCATCGAGGTCCGATAGGAAGCCCTGCCGCTAAAATCTATCATTAAGGCATATTGCAAGATCACAGAGACACGCCACTCGAAGCCAATGGATAGGGGGACAGAGCTGTAGGACCGCTCGAGACCTCTCTACATGCCCCATCTCACTGTGAAGGGTCTCACAATGAGTGCAAGTTGAGTGATATGACAGTGAATATGCACAAAAAGAGCAGAAACTCTAGTTTCCCCTAGCCCAGACCATATAGAAGGGAGACAGTTGTTCGTTCTTGATCAGAAACTCGAGCACTGGCATAGAGAAGACCTGTATATTAATGTTCACCGTGAGATCCTAGCAAGTAGAAGGGGCTGTGTAGCTGTGTTTGGCAAAACCCTTGGATCCAAACAACCGCTTCTGCTTGCAGCTTCTCGGCTCCACTGAAGAAAAATATTACAACTGACCGTAGGAGCGCAAATGATGACAGGCGCGGTGGCAATTATACCCACAAAACTCAATTTATCACACCCAACACCACCGCCTTAGCCCTTCAGCTTACAAGCACTCCGTTGCTGTACAGTCTGTACAGCTCCGACGTCGGAGAGATATGAACCCAGTTATGGAACGCGACGAAGAAGCCAAATTACATAACTCATAATCCGACTTGAAGAGTTGCGGTGGGTGGTCAATTGCTACATTGTGCATTTTTGCCCACGTTCGGTTGAGTTACGGTCATAACTTCGTTACACGTCGACTTCGAATCGAAGCTGTGTTATGACATACCGTGCAGAAGAACTGAGAGGATGTGCGGGAATGCCAACTGAGCTCTTATCGAGGTCAGTGGCGGCGCTTCTAAACTAAGGTGGCCGTGAATAGCTTCAAAGTGATCTGAAAACAGCCTAGGTACACAACAATATATGGTATATCTATGAACTGGAGTGAAACGCAAGAACCGAAGTAAACATTGTCATCGAAGTTCAAAGAGAGAAAGGAATGAGACACGGAGTCTACAAGTCTAAAGAATGAATTGTCGACGAGTCACGCGAGTGTTGACAAGTCTTAGTACAACGAATATGTGCGTTTATACATACAATACGAGTCTATAACGTCCCTTGTCAATCACATAATCCGAATGCCCAAGCCTTCTCCCAATCTTGACAAGCTGAACAATAATGTATGCGAGTATGCGAGATCGTTACTTGAACATCGTCCTGCGAAAAATGATCTCTACTCCGAGGAAACGCACTGGAGGGGAATGTCAACAGCTGTACTGGCATGTTCGCCGCGCCAAACGTGCTTGCACCGACAGGGAGTTCGATATGCGGGACGGCCAGTGAGATGGTCGCAAGGGCCGTGAAAGAATTCCATGACGTCTGCATCATCCACGGAGGCAGAATGTGTTCTCCAGGTCCTAGAAGGCCCACATTGCGATGCAGGAGGTGCATATGTGCGGCTTGTGGGTGAGATAGAGAGACTACGTGAGAGATGGAAGCAAGGAAGGCACGTCCTTGGGGAGTAAACCCGAGGGGGCGCTGTGGAGTCAAAAATGTGACATGCGAGAACGTCAAAGTCCTTGTCCTCCAAGGAAGTTGGGAGCATTCGAGGGCTATATTCTTGCGGGAGTTCCATGCATGCTCAAGGCAGCCTGAAAGAAGGAACAGACTTGACAAGTCTGTCGCAAAGGACTCTGCACCGAGTAGAACTGGAGCCATGAGGCTGACGCTATTGGGCCAGTGAGCTTGCAGGGCTTGCTTCTGGATATTTTCAATCCAAATCCTGTGTACGTGAGGTGCGTACTCAAAATGAAGGTGATGGCCCTGCTGAGCGTATTCTTTCTGCATTCGTAGAGCATGCAGGAAAGCTGTCAAGTGGCGATTTTCCGGGAGTAATACTGTATGCAGCAATTCGGGAAGCACGGCGCGCCGGACATCCCTAGAGACGCGACAGAGCGCCAATGCGGATGCGTATGGATTTTTGGCATCATATTTTTCGGCTTGAGAGAACGTTGGCGTGGCAGCGTATTTTAGGATCATGAGGACTAGCTCAGTCGGAAGTTCGACAGACGTGAGTCGCGTAACAGGTTCCATGAAGGGCAATGAAGGAATATGCTACGCTGTTTTGAAGACGAGAGATTCACCTTATAAACTGATGAGAGTTGTGGCGTCGTCCACAGGGGACTGTGCGTGAAACCACAAGCTATGATAGTCTTATTGTCCCTTCTGGGTCGTACTGTGACCCTGTGGAATTTATAAATCAATTATCACCAGAGATTATCATAGGAATGATGCGAATGCAGCACGGACCATAGAATCCACCTCGATTATCCTCAATTGTCTCGCATTGCGATATACTGAGAATGGAACGCGAGATGCCAAATCTGAATGCTCGAACCACGCGACCACTTATGCCTGTAGGGAACTGCAAGCGGTGGACGTGTGGTCATGGTTTGCTGATTGACGAGAAGGGTATTAGCCTAATTCAAGGTGATACGGAAGATTTCCTTGTCATTGTAAGTCATGGCCAGTTCAAGTCATTAGCCTGTTCCTAGTGGAGCCAACCGAGAGAAGAATGGCCCGCCCGAGTGCAAGTCAGAAATGAGATAGAATAGCAACGAGCAACTATCAAGGTCCAGAATGTTCACAGCGATGGTATGACTAGTAACTCCATCATGCAAGAGTGTTGAATGATATGGCATGCGATATGCGTAGAACTTGGGGCTGTGCAGCTGTGTTTGGCAAAACCCTTGGATCCAAACAACGCTTTATACTTCTGAAGGCTATTTACAGCCGACCGTAGCACAAATAGTAATGCCCACGAGCTTACGATTCGAGACAAGCACCTCGCTGATGTTAACGTGCTTTTGAATGAGGTTAGGTAGGTACTGCTTGCAATACAGCTGATTGGGCTGGTGGTAGAAGACATGCAATATTCCAAATAGATGGATGTCGAGAACAGCAGCACAGAATTCGTTTACGAAGTTATATATGCGAAATGACGTGATGACAGCAGTATGAGTTGTTGCGAGCGGAAGAAATCGCATTCCCAGAGAGGACACGAAGAAACATACATGACGATTCAGCTGACACTCCTGCGCTAAGAATCATCGTGGTAGTGTCCACGAGGAAAACAAATTTTATCGATGAATTTGTTACAGCCGCCGTGTATGCTCGAGTCCAAATCTGAGTTATGGTTAGTGTGGTAGGTGACGAAGTGCGATGGGGGAGCGTGTGATCATGAACCCGCAGCGCCTTGCGAGTATCGAGCTCCATCTCCAGCGAGAATTGGCGCAGATGGTGGTCCTGACGTAGCATGCGAAGATGTTCCCAACTGTAATAGGACCACCTTGGGATGTAGCACCCGCTTGTGAATAACAATTTGTGTGTACTGCAGCGGGAAGAGTGCTACTTGTTGCTGCCAATGGTTTTTTCTTGTGTGCTCGCTTCATTGCAACAAGTCTCTGATATTCACATCTTTAGTATGAATAAATCTGGTAGACTGAACCTTACCTGGAACCCGCGCACAGCATACACTTCAACGATCTCAGCACGTTTCATTGCCGGAGCCATTTTGGCAGAAGTCAACTCTTTCCCTTGAGCACGCGTCAGCCATTTCCAGAGGTTGCGATTGTCCTCGGCGGAGGGAGTGGGATCACTGGTCATTGGGTTCTGCGCGTTGGCAGGAGGTTCGTCACGGTGTGTTTGCTTTTATCCTCGTTCACTTTACTGGCGTCAAGCGGAGCATTCGCAGAGAACTGACGACCCATCCTGTTGAAGTAGCGATGTGCAAGAGCCGAGAAAGGAACTTACATCATCATTCCTTTCACCTTCCTTGTTATCTTCTCCTGCTTGGACCTTCCCTTCTGCTGCCAGCTGCTTGGGTGCGGTTACTGCAGGCTGCAGCGGCGAGTTTGAGTGACCACGACTACAGCTAGGGCATTATTGTGAAATGGAGAGGTGTCGAGAGATGACATTCCAGAAGCGACGAGCAGAGGATAAGTTGGGGAGATGGGGATCAAATGATGTCCGAAAGCAGACGTGGCTGGGAAGACTACAAGTACATATCGTCAGTATTAGGTGCCCTTTGCATCGAAATACATGAGTTTTACCCTGAAAAATTTGTTATAAGGGTCATCGTGCACCTCCTCAATGATGTCATTACTCCCTGATGGCTTTGTAGTATCGGCCTGCGACAGTCCTGTGAGCAAAGCAAGACAGAGAGTCAAGTGTGAGATTACCGACGTCGAGGCAACTTAACGATGATAAGGACTTGGGCCGAGTTTCCTGCTGTGTAGCTTGAAGTATGGGTACCACAAACTCAGGAGCTATGTCTTTGACCATCCACAGAGTGACTTTCCCGTCGTCTCCGCTGTATGCCAGGTAACTCCCGTCTCGAGAGAACGACACACAGCGAAGGTGTTCGCGATCATCCTGGTGAAATGGCTGGCCGAGTGGCTGAAGGGACCCCGCAGCTTGTGTCCCATAGCTGTGTTATACCATAAACGCCCACATACGCCAGGACATTGTTTTTGGGTGAAAGTGCGACACAATTCACTGGATAGTCGTGCTCGAAGCGATGGAGTAGCGCGCCTGAGACACTATCAAAAATACGTGCAAAACTGTCGGAGGCGGAATAGATTTTTGTGCTGTCCGACGACCACACCACCGACGTGACAACGATCCCAAGGTCTCTGATAGGGCCAACAACAAGCTCGCCGGCCTTCGTGTCCCAGATGCAGATGGTGCAGTTCATTCCACCTGATGCAATTCTGTCGCCGGAAGGTGAGTACGCAAGACATTCCACCATGTCCTGCTTCGTCTCAATCGGCCCCACCTCGACTTCTCCACTTTTCGCTTTTCGAATAAAGATCGTTCCGTCATATGATCCGCTGGAAATATGGTCTCCGCTGGGGGACCACGACACTGACCACACCCCGTTGAGATGACCCGTCCAATCACCCTTGATCATCTTTCCATCTGTGTTCCACAGCTGAACACTTCCGCCATAATCCCTCCAGAACACAATCGTCTCGCCGTCCGGTAAAAGCGTCAGCGCAAATGTAACTGCACGAAGCTTCCCTCCCCAGGGTTTACCGACAAGAAGTCCTGTGTTGCAGTTCCACTTCCGCATCGTGCCATCTGCAGAACCGCTCACGATGTGGACTCCGTCGTGCAAGAAGACGAAACTGCATATAGCCTTCTCATGCTCAAATTTGTGCTTTGGAGTTGGTCGTTTGGATTGCACTGGGGTTGAAGCTTCCTCGAGGGTCGACTTTGCAGAAGGTTCAGAAGCCATAGCTCGTTGCCGTAAGGCGTCCGGTGAAACAATATGGCTGTGACGTGGTTCTCCATCAATCATAAGCGAACAGTTAACCAACACTCACCAGTTAGTCTGCCGGTTTCTCGCTCTGGAGTTAGCTGGCAAGGTGGGCGAGTCTTTATGTGTATCGCATAGATTGCATGATGTGGTGCTAAACTCTAATCGTCCCGTGGCAGGCTGTGCGATCATACAGCATTTCTTCCCATTTCGGCCGGTTCAATTGTTCGCAGATCGTAATACCCACTATCCTCTTTATGATCATTCACCCGACTTCATTACTCTAGCATGATGAACCACGTTTCAGCGCGCACACTCGAGGCAGACACTATGCGTGACCTACATGGCTTCTAGTGCCCATTTATTCCTTGCTCCATATACAGTTCATTTCAAATTACCTGTGCTCCGAGTCCCCGTCATCTTGTACGCGTTTACAAAAAGGCTCCTCCCGCCCAACTCCTGCCAGAAAGAAAACACAGCTCTACCTTGCAGTACTGGCTGGGCTTTGGACTAAATTGAAACTCGCGAGAGGATTACGGGGATGCGCAAGGGGAATTTGGCTTGTTCAGTGAGTCCGCTGGGCTTCCGGTTCGTCACTATATTCATTTAGTGCCTGAGTGCTTGCAATCGGCAGTGTTCAGACGCCCTCATGTGGCCGCAGAACAATCATGGTGAGGTCAAATCGAGGGTGACTCGGGGGAAAGTATCGATATCGTACAGATGGGTCATTTCTTCAACACGAATAGATGCGCGAACGAATGCAATTGTCGATGCCCTTTGCAATGACGGAAGTTAGCGAAAGCCCAAGTGGGAAAGAAGGTAACCTGCCTGTCACTTTTGTGGCCAAGATGCGTAGCTGTGCAAAGTGTTGCTGCATACAGCATTACACGACCTCGTGATCTGCTTCAATGTTATTTAGCGTCTATGCACAGCACCATGCGCAAACGACTCACCTAGGACTCAGAGGGCATGTCACATGCTCTCTTCACGCGATTTCTGAACATGGTGACTGAAAACGAACAAGATGAAGAGGTGGGCGGTTGTGAAGATGGTGTTGTACATCATGGGGGACATCACATGTGCTACTGATTGTTCATGAGGTCATTATCATTCATCAATTTTCACGTCATTTGTAAGAAACATCTGGACTATGCCCCTACAAATGACATAAAAATCGATGGCTTTCCGCAGCGCATGACTGAGGTATGCTCAAAACGACCTTTAACTTGGTTTTCGAGGAGAACTCGTACTGCATCGTCGGCAGCCTCGCAGAGCGGTTAGCTCAGTGATGCTAAGGTGACGTCAATTTCAAACAGCAAAGTGCCGTCGAACGCGAGCGCTCGAATCGGGATCGTTCTTAGGTATTGCAAAACTCATGGACCTGGATCAAGGAGTAAGTGAAAGGTCGTTTCGATGTAGTAGATCTGACCTCTAAACTGATCATGAATCACTAATCAGCATCAAATGTCGCAAATGCGAGGAAGCACGCACACAGAGTCATCGACTCATCTCATCTGTAGATCCGATCTGTAGCTGATAGAAATATGTACGTAGGTGCCACACCTGTCATAAGTCACTACAGTTGTGAGCAATAAATATTGCCACTTGAACGAGAGAAGGAACTGACGAGCAGTAGGACCATCCCGCCACGTCTCCGAGGACAAAGCACGTCGTCCACTTCCTTGGTTTGATGCACGAGCGGCAAGTCATCCAAAACAGTCCTGAAAGGATCGCCGTGGGATGGTAGTAGCGATTCAACTGTGCACCTGTTTTAACTGGTATGGGGATGTATCGCATGTCGGGCAGAAGAGCATGGAAATACTGCAGTAAAATCAACTGGCAAATCCAACCACGGTCCACGAGCGACCGATGTTGACATCGTTTTCAAACTCCGTATTGTTCAGATGTGGCCAAAGCACCCCTATTACCAGATCTCTACTTTCAACCAGTCGCCTCTGCACGAATTTCCATGTACTGGTTCAAACAACACCATCCGAATCAACAGATTCAACCAGGTGCTCCCCCTGAATGGGCTCCCGCGGTAGAGCAATCACGCACATATGGTCTTCAGAACGAAGCCTCAGATGAAAGTTACGAGAAAGCTCTGGAGTTCTGTGAAAGATATCCTGTAGAATCGTCAAAAATTCTCCCCTCTCGAACCATCGCAGATATCGACAACAATGGGTGTTTAGAATGGCGAATCCAAGTTGATGGCTCTTCCCCTACCGCTGTAGTCCATAATCCAAACGGGAAGGGTGGACTCTCGCAGATACGCTCGAGAGCAGGTTGCCCAGATACATGTCTCCTCAGTAACCTGCCAATCGTCGCTGGTCAATATCACTTTCCAGATGATGGTGGAGTATACTTCGAGATTACTGTGCACAAAATGACAGACCCAACCAAAGGCGGCGTAATTGCAATTGGTATGCATGCCTTGGCCCTTCACTCTTCGCTCCTCCGCATCGTCTCATTGTTCGTCCCATTAGGAACTGCCTGCAGACCATACCCCTTGTGGAGGCTCCCCGGTTGGAACCGACTGAGTGCAGGCTTTCACCTCGATGACTTCCACAAGTTCTTTGAGGACGCAGAGGGCGGACGCCCCTGCTTCCCAGGTTCTGCACCCCTCACGTCTGTCGTTGGCCACACGATCGGTTGCGGATATTCCTTCCACACTGGAACAATGTTCTTCACGATCGATGGTCAACGCCTGCCAGATGCGTTTACTGGCATATACCTGCAGAACCGCAGCGGGATTGATGTGTATGCTGCTGTGGGTGTGTCTGGGGAGTGTGACGTCTCGGTAAATTTTGGTGGTACGTCTTTCAAGTGGCTGGAAGGAAATGAGTGGAGGTGGAAGGTGGAAAGACAGATGAGGAAGCTTGGAGGTGATATTGGAGAACAGGAGGAACTGCCGGCGTACAGTGCACAGGGATAACGCTAGTACATCTTATCATTTCTTGGATTGTCACTAGCCTAGACAGATGCCGGACCACCAAAACGGACTACTAGTCGTCTCTTCAACTACCAGTTACAGCTGTGATGTCAGTTTCGGTCAGCTTCAGTTTGAAATGAAATGATGTTTCAAACGCACGATAACAAAAGTCCAAAGCATATCGACTCGCATTAGATTTTTCATCTTTCCTCCTTCTTTATCCTTATCCGCGACTCCTAGTGCTCCTCCAGCAGGCTTCCATCGAGTTTCCTTCATCCAGTGCAGTTAACACGGGGCTTCTTAGCAACGTATCTTACGGAACGTTTGCCACAGCGCAGTGCCGCTGGAGTCTCACTCGCGTAATCTGTCAAGTCCCAAAAAATACATAAACTGCCGCACCCTATAATCAAATATGGCTTCTGTCACCTCCCGCGCATCGGGTTTCTGGGCGGACAGGATGACTTACTTTGAAGATACAGAGCAGGGTATTGACGATGTTGAGGTGGATTTGGGCGCTGAGTATGATGGAAGAACGCCATTGGATAAAACCTATTGACAAGATTGGGATGGGTGCGTCGTGTTTTTTCTTATTAGCCGTGATCTGGCACTTATATCGATCAGGGAGTTATCAATGGACGCTGCTGTCATTATGTGGATTCGGTGAGTACTACCGTCCTGCAATACCTTGCGAGGATATGCCCTTTCGACAATTCTGCAACTGACTATTGTATGTTCTATCAGGATGGATGGCAGATAATGTGAGTAGCTCACAGAAACACTCCTGACTTCCCTGACCTGTCGCTCAGATGTGGATTCAAGCTATTGCAATCATTCTCCCTAGAGTACAACAACATTATTCAGGTATATTCCCTTCCTGCCCAGTGGGTGGTCATATAACTCTCTCCCAGTTCCTGACAACTACATCGGGACTCTTTCATCGTCCATGTTCGCCGGTATGATGTTCGGCGCTGTGGGCTGGGGGACCTGCTCCGACCTTCTGGGGCGGAGCGCTGCATTTAACGCAACACTCTTCTTCACGGCGTTATTTGGGATCATGGCCTCCTTTGCATGGTCATTTTTGTCGCTGTGCATCCTGCTGTTCTTCCTTGGCAGCGCGGTTGGTGTATGTTAAGTCCCCTTCTTGCACACCTTCTTTGCTTATTGGGCACCTTCGATTTTAGGGTTCGATGCCAACTGACGGCACCCTCCTCCTCGAGCACATGCCCAACGGGAAGCAATATCTTGTCACTGCCCTTTCCGTCTTCTTCTCCTTGGGATCCGTTCTATCCGCGGGCGTTGCACTGGCAGTCATTCCTTCCCGCTCATGTCCCCCTAGCGAACCTTGCGATGTCGCTACCCAAAACACAGGCTGGCAATACATGCTCATAACCCTTGGTATTATCGTATGTCTACTCCGGAAATGATGTATAATTGTTTCTGACCTTGATCATTACAGACACTTTCGATGTTCCTTGCACGAATGGTCTTCTTCCGATTGCATGAGTCCCCGCGGTACCTCGTGCACGCTGGGCGTCACCAAGAAGCACTAGAAAGTTTACAACTCATCTCTAGATTCAATGGGTCTGAGCTGCCGCTAGAGCTAGAAGATGTCGATGACCGACCTCCACCCATCTCCGAAGTACATGCACCTACAGGCGAGCGCGTGCCATTCCTCCCGAACTCCAGCTCCCAAGATCCCCGCACTGACGGCGAGACGCTATTTGACGCAGCGGATAATAGCAGCACATCGAGCGACCCAAATGGGACAAAAGTTTACCAGTCCATGGACGAAGCATCTCATGATGCACTAGATGGGCATCTATTCATAACACCCGTAGGAGAGGTGCCTCCACGCGGGCAGAGTCTTGCCCGTGGACATCACTCCCGTTCTCCCTCTCGAGACTCAGAATCCGATGCCAAAGATCACTTCTCCATCCCTCAACCGCGCCCGCGGCCCCGCCAAGGCACTACGCACACGCGGACTACATCTGTCGTATCTTTTGAGATGAAACAGCGTGTTGGAAGCGTACTACCGCGATGGGTACGCCGGCCGTTGCTTGCGTGGCTAGATCGCGTGGGCATGGTATTGGCCCCTGAGTGGTTCCGGACGACGGTACTCGTGTGGGGTGTTTGGTTTTTTATGTCGCTAGGTGGGTTTCATCTTCTTCGTACGGGGCTCCAGTGGCTGATTGGGAAGTACATAGCGTACACGATGTTTAATGTCTACCTCCCCAAGCTGCTCGAAACTGGATCGAGTGATGATACCTCCACAAAGTCTCTGGAGGATAGCTTATGGGACGTTTTAATATTTACGATGGGAGGGTGTCCTGGTGCCATCGTATGTTCTATCATTTTCTTTAATGTATCGATACTGACGGTTGGTTGCAGCTCGGAGCCTATATGGTGGAAAGTCCTCTTGGCCGGCGGGGCTCGCTAGCTGCGACTACGTTCGTCACAGCGTTCTTTTGTATCGTGTTCGTGCTCGTGAGAAGCGCCTTTTTGGTGCGCGCCAGTTCGGTGGGGATCAGTCTAAGCGCCACGGTATGTGATTTTCGAAAAACGTCTTTTTTCTGTTTCTTACAGCCATGCAGACTATGTATGCTGTACTATATGGGTATGTTTCAGTAGTTTCACGATTCGAGTGGATGATATCTGACTTTTTCTATGTAGCTGGACGCCAGAAATATTCGGAACTAAAGTCCGAGGGACCGCGTGCGGCATTGCCTCTGCGCTGTCACGAATGTACGTCTCCTCATTAATACCAAAATACAACCCAACTTATATCGATCTCAGAGGCGGGATGATCGCTCCTATGCTCGGCGGCGCCCTTCTAGTCGTGAACCGCGCGTTCCCTGTGTGGACGAGCGTCGTCGTATACGGTATCACTGGCGTCTTCATTCTGCTCTTGCATGAGTCGGCCGGGAATGGCGGCGGTGAGCGATCGTTTATGCATTGACAGAAGTACATGTGCTGCTTCCGATGATGGTTGTGCTGCGATATATTGTACGATGATGTCCGCTCATGCTGTATTTACATCTATTCAAATTAGATGCATCTATTTTGCTTCAGTGAAGGGAATGTCTTGGTCGTATCAGGACCTCGTCGAAACACATCGAGAAAATTCGGAGCTTCGGTTTTTTCGACATCTATCCATCAGTATCTACCTCTTTCCGCTTGGGGTTCACTGGGCCTCAGGCTTCCTTATAAGCTGGATAGACTTTATGGGGCATGTACATTGTTTCGCATGATACTACACAAATATCCATTGATCCGAAATCCCAGTTCCCGAAACCATACACAGCATATAAAACGCCACTGTTGTGTTGTACGGTGCAACAGTGCCATCATGTTTGGCAACTTCCCTCGCATCGATCGCTGCCTGCCATTACCCAATGTTGCTTTCCATTATTCAGTGCTATGGCCCTCTAAGCTTGCATCGATCATCTCCTGCACAATGAGCGCCGTTGTTATTTATCTCGAGCTGTCTCCTCTTGTACAGAGGGTGACGTCAGGGAGATCGTGTTGAAGGGGAATTGTGCCACGATGACGCTAGAGAATATTCCAGGAGATGCGAATGACTGGTCGGGATCAAGTGTCTCCTTCCAGCAGACGCGGTATGCGAAGGTAACGATCACCAGGAGGTTGCAGATCACGAGACTGAGGGTGGTCTAATTTCTGTCAGATGTTGCTGAGGGATGTGTGTAAGTGAGAAAGTGTGCTTACCTTGACATGCGCGAAGAACAGTGTGGTTTCTGTGGCAGATCGAAAGAGCATTATCGACTGGGGGATTGTGATGACGGTGATTAGAAGCGATGCGCCGAATGTGGAGAGTATCAAGATTCTTCCGGTACGTGAGAGTCCTGCATTTTTCCAGAACTGCAGCGGCACAACGATCAGAGAAATATCCGCAACGGCTTCCGCTGCAGGAGCCCATAACTTGAGGATCATAGTAAGCACACAAAGCAGAAAGAGGTACTGACTAATTAGTTGCGAGACCGCCACTGAGTGGGTCATCTGACACGCGTAGATGCACATGCTCATCTTTTGCGCGAGCAGCGCGGCCCACATGCACGCGAAGGATACGGCGATGAGATATGTGATCCGCTTGTGGGTCTTGTAACCTGAGCGATTGGCGACTCGGATGATGGAGAAAATGATGCTCATGCGTGCAGCCCTGGACCAGTGAGTTAGAAATGTAACAGTAAGTGGGCTGTGATGCGCACCACGAGACGGAGGTGAAAGCCGCTGAGAAGGCCCAGTCAGGGACTGATATGAACGTAAGGTAAACTTTGGTGTACGAAGTAAAACACTCACAATCTATCGAGGCTTGAGCCCAGATCCATACCAGGCAGACAACTGGGGGATATAGTGGTTGGTTTACGGAGCACAACAATATGCAATAAAATTTCTACCGTCTGAGAACAGTGCAAATGCTGCCCATGCATCTTCCCACCACAATTGACGCATCCAAACCCTGTAAACAAGCCTGAAGACGGTGCAGAGTATAGCAACGGCATGCAAAACCGACCCCGCGACTTTCCACAGGATGGTAAACAGAAGAGTACGACGTAGTGGGTACTTTCACTCACCTACTAGTCGAGCGGAGTAGGATAACATTAGCAGACAACAAGGAAAGAGTGACCCCCTACATGCAAATGTTGAAGCTCTCAGCTATATCATAGGCTCGGAGGACCCATGTGCACATGTCTCCGTAATTATCTGATAATTAGACACGTCGTTCACAGGCTACAGCATTTCTGGGCATTGACGATAACCTGCAGGGCTACACAGACCAGTTGCGCCTGTTGTGCATATCCTTGTTGAGGAACGTTTTCAAGTTGTTGGCACGTTGTTTGCAGCGGTAACGTGTCCTGCGCAGTTGAATAAGACTCAGATATATCAAATAGTGCCACGACTTGGCTTTAGCAATTGTCACTTGACCCTTTTACCTTACACGAACGGGAAGGCCCTGCAGGGATCTGATCCGAGTGATCGTAGCAATGAATTTCGGGCCAGTGTGGATGAAGATATGATGAAAAAGTCTTTCCATCCCGAGGGATACTGGATCTCGGCAGTGCAGCCTTTGGAATACTTAGGGTATGATATACGTACTTATATCTGACCATGTTTCGAAAAATCGAATCTCCTGGACCGTTGATTGATGCGATCATTAGGATCAGATCCCTGCAGGCCCTTCCCGTTCGTGTAAGGTAAAAGGGTCAAGTGACAATTGCTGAAGCTTAAGCCAAGTTATGGCACCACCATATATGTGATACCCACGAATTTTATTTAATTGTGTAAGACACGTTACCGCTGCGAACAATGTGTCAGCAAAGGACTTCACCCTCAACGTTCCTCAACAAGGATATGCACAACTTGACAAATCGAATGACGGATATATATACTTCCCAAGAAGCACGACATAGCCTCGACGTTCGACGTTGCGTTAGCAATACACGTGTAACAGCAAGTTGACGAGTAGCAGGCCACGGGCCACGTTCATGTAATACCGAATGACGGGCAGATTATTCACTGCGTGGCACCGCATCTTAAACGACAGGTAGGTTGCTTTGGGCCCTGCATCACGTTAATTGGGACTTTTCCTGACAGCGAGAGAGTAGTGAGTGGACCTGTCGATAAGACAATCTGGAGACTCGAGGGTGGCACGGAGATGATGGAATGGGGTAGAGAACGACGTAGGCACACCTGAATCTTGCGAAACGGGGAACGGGTACTTGACAGATTTCGATACGATATTGATTGGCAGGTGTGGGTACGCGATGCTGAGACTGGAGGGTCGTCACAAGTCTCTTGCCAGACAGTCACAACAAGATCATGTTGACCATAGACATTTTCCCTAACGGCAAGAACCTTACCAGCGGGTCGCTTGATAGCACAGTCATTTTATGGGATGTCAGCCCCAGTAGAAGTCCACTGTTCCCAGAATGGCTGAGGCTGTGCGAGATTGTGCGAAAAATTGAGACGAAGCTGAGATTGCTTGAGATTGGCTGGCGGTGTTAGTGCACTGGTCTGAGATTGCGTGAGGTTGTATGTCTCTAATGTCGTCACTGCACATTGCATGTTGCACACAAGAAATTGCATACATTTTACACAACATCGATGGCGAAGCTTATCCGAGTCCCGGGTCCGTGGATTTAGGATGACTTGGAGTATTTGAGAATCCTAAGTCCCCAACCACAGCTTTTTCCTCAACTGTCTTTCCTCTTTCTCCCCAACCATCATCTTCACTCCAACCATCTCCCAAGTTCACTCTAGTCAATCGTTGGTCCACCTACTTCTAGTAACTTTCTTTTCCCTCTGGTGATTTTAGAGGCCCTCTCACTTAGAATGACTTATACTGGATGCACTCAGAATCTGATTCTGAGGACTGGAGGGAATGTTTAAGTGAATATATGCGCATATATTCATCCTTTGGTGAGTTGTTGATCCGCGCTTTCACCTGTCTTACCCACTGGTGGCTCACATATACGACAATTATTCGTGTTCTGTGCTCGTGACTCATAGAGACGCGTTTTCTCCCATCTGTGATTAAAGCGAGGGCTTGAGGGTATGTTTGAGTGACTGTATGTGCATATATTCATCCTTTGGTGAGTTGTTGATTGGCGCTTTCATGCATTATCTTTCCCCCTGGCTCACATTTATGAATTGTCCTGCACTCGTGACTCATAGAGATGGCCACCATACTGACCCCAGAATACTCCCTAGATCCCTCTGATGCATCCAATGGGGCTGTCCCACCAGTCACCATTGCCACCAATCCGATACAAATTACTAGTAAGTATTACCACATAACTGCATAACTAACTCAATCTCCTCCAGCACGTGAATGGCTCGCTCGCAACAAGACTGGATCAGCAGCCGAGTTCAAGACCTACTACGATGGACTGTCGGAAGCGCAGAAAAAAGTGCGTCTTTTGTATCGTTTGTCCTCGGGTTGGACTGACATCTTTAATCAGTCATACGACGAGCTCGCTGCCAAGAAGGTATGTAGTGACTACGACTAGAACATGTTGCACCTACTGACAAGTACTCTTTCTACTAGGTTGCAGCTGGCGAATGGCTCCATTAGCGACACCACTCTCCTTCCAACTTCTTACGACCTAGAACGAGCATTGGGTAGAATGGACGGTGGCAGGAACGAGCGTGGGCTAGAATGGACGGTGGTGGGATGCATCGAGTTTTATTATATCCGGCGTCTACCTGTAATAATGTATATACTACACAATACCAGCAGATCTGGCACAATCTAGAGTGACACAACGAGCATTGCAGCCAAGCAATACCAGCAGATCTGGCACAATATAGGGTGACATGCAAATATTGCATCTAAATAATCTGCGACAATCACGCACAATCACACACATTTGCACATGTGCTATTAGTCTCATTTTTCTCTTGAGATTGTGTCGCTTAGTTCAGACAATTTCACGAAACCTCAGCCATTCTGGGAACAGTCAACTTCTACTGGGTGTCAGCACTTGGCAGAGGCAATTTGATCTTCTCTCGTGTTGCACACCTGTCTACTGCATCCGATTTTCTGGGTCCGATGGAATACCAACACTTGGCAGAGGCAAGGTGACCTCATCTCGTGTTGTACATATATTCCATGTGCTCTATTTTATCCATGCGCTCACCTCAACATTGCTTCCAAAGAGGACATCCAAATGTTGAACCGAAGGGAGCTCACCTTGTTGCGCCTAGCTCTCGGTTGATGGGCACTTCGTGGTCAGCATAAGGAGGGGGCGACAAAAAATCTTGCAATGGGAGATACCAGAGCATGGGCTCACAGCGGTGTTATGACCCACGTCCAACAATAATGTTGAAGGAGAGTTCACGACCACTAGGACTCGGTCAGAGATGACGATGAGTAACAGGATTGGATTGAGCGTTGAACGTCTAGGTTACTACAACAGTAGAAACGAAGAGGTTAAGTCTAAGGAGCTCTTACGCTAACTACCCTACTTTTATACATAACATTGAATAGGAGTCTGAAAGAAATCAGCCAATAAGAAAAAGGTCGTACGACTACTGCGGATGACTAAAGATGACTCATGATATATAAGCAGATGAGTAAGATGGCAACTAAACAGAAACCCAAGTTCCGACCGGTTCTTCTTTGGGAATCGAGATTGTTCTAGCCCGTGGAGTAGGGGAACCAATCAGAGAAGTAACGGGTGACTTATGACGCGGAGTCACGTGACCGGCTCGGGTACTGGAAGTAGCCGAAGGAAAACCGAGAAACGAAAAATGGTTCGTATTAGGAATTCGTGACATTACCCCCTTTCTAGGATGAGCGTCCTCGCGAATGTAAGATGGTCGTATATTTTTCTGTCTCCATTCGAGGAAGTCAGGGGTCGTCAGAATTGAAGCGGAGATGCATGCCGATTTAACCGCATTTGGGTTTTCTGCATAAAAGTCGGCTACAATGAGTGGCGCGTTCTTCACATCTTCCTCTGACTGCCATGTTGCTTCTTCTACTGCATATCCTTTCCATTTTACTAAATACTGCAACTTGCGCCTGTATAGGCGGCTTTGCAATATTTGCTCTGCTTCATATTCTGGGACTTGATCAACAATATCCGGCGGCGGGCGCGTTAGAGGTGGGCGATCAACGAGTTGAGAGGTTTGATGTGGGGTGAGTAACGATACATGAAAAACCGGGTGGACGCGATATTTAACCGGGAGCTTCAACCTGTAGTTTAGCTCGCCAGTCTTCTCTTCGATTTCGAATGGTCCCAGACGGCGGTCGGACAATTTTTGGCTCGGACGGCGTTGTTTGATGTTTGTCGCGTCTAACCATACCTTGTCACCTGGTTTGAATTCTGGTGCGTCTTTTACTTTACGATCATAAAAGCGCTTCATTCGATCGTTCGCTATTTCCAGCATTGCCTTCGTTTCTTCCTGTGCCTCCTTCATCTCAGCTACTCTCTGGTCGGCATGGGGAATCGTGTTAGAAGAATTAGGGGAAATCGTAAACTCGGGATTATATCCGTAGACACATTTGAATGGGGAATGTCCAGTGACGGTTACTGAGTTGTTATGCGTGAATTCAGCAATTGGAAGCCAAGAAACCCAATCATTCTGACGGTAGGATGTGAAGAGTCGGAGGTACTGTTCGACTTCTTGATTGACTCGTTCCGTCTGTCCATCAGTCTGTGGGTGATATGCTGTTGACATGGACCACTTGGTTCCTAGTCGTTTCGAGACTTCCTGCATGAACTTGGACACAAACTGTGTTCCCCTATCCGAGATTACTTTCTTCGGCGTCCCATGTAACTTCCATACATGATTGAGAAATAAGTCCGCGACTCCCTTGGAATCAACATCCTTGGTGGTCGGAGCAAGATGCGCTTGCTTTGTGAAACGATCAACGACTACCAAGATACTGTCTTTGCCCTGGGAGATGGGTAGATCGGTGATGAGGTCACAGCTAATGATTTGCCATGGCCCTTCTGGAATTTCGTTCGGTTTTAAAGGTCCGTGGGGTTTTGACGGTAGCACCTTCGTCTGCTTGCATCGATCACATCCATCTACGTAGTCATTGACCCATTTCTGCATCTGGGGCCACCAATAGTTCCGCGAGACAAGTTCAAGAGTCTTGGCACGTCCCATATGTCCTGCTGCAGGCGAGTCATGGAAGATCTCTAGCACTGAGCGACGAATTTCCTTATTCTTGGGAACGTAAACCAATCCCCGGAACAAAATGAGTCCATCCTCCGTGTTCCACTCTTCCAATCCTCTTCTCAAC